AGACGAATCGACGAGTTCCGGGGAATGCAATATGATCATGAATCGTGTCAAACAACGGAGTGCCTACAGACTGTCCGACGTCAACTCCCGATTTGGCAGCTCGATCGAGCCTGCATCATCGTTTTCCAGAGAGATGCCCCACCTCCCTGCGGTGTGATGGCTGGAATCAAACTCCGCAGCTCGTAGTGAACTTCGGTGATGCTATGCTGGACGGTGCTAGACGCTAGGCCGTCACGAAATTTTTAAAACGATTCGACACAATTAGGAGATCCCCCTTCGAGCACTCTGTGCGTGAGAACGTATGACAACATCGCCTCCACTTTTAGCAAATAGGTTTTCTGGAAGAGGGGCGCTCCCTGAAGTCTCGCCGCCCGGAGGTCGTCCATGCGGAAACGAGGTTGGATTATCCGTAAATAAGCGCGAAAAGGCTTAATTCAAAGCTCCGGCGATTTGCCTCCGGAGATTAAAATATCGTCACACGTCTTGCCGCTCAAAATGAAATCGACGGAGCAAAGGCAGCGTCGAGTTCTCTGGGGTGAGAAGGAGAGCACCCGCGAGAGTTCTGTCCATAGCTGAAGATGTTATCGGGGAGCATGCAGTGTTTTCACTGTTCCAGCCCCAGCTCAGGAGCTCTGATGATCCGAGTCCAGCATGCAGTATTTGTGCTATTTTCACACGGAGCTCACCGAAACTTCCAGTCCATCAGAAACTTCAATAATCCGAGCATCAATGGTGAGCATCTTACGATCAGAGGGAGGGCAAAGATCGGGCTATCGTAGAGCTCATCAATAGAGAAGATCTTGGTTTCGGCCCATTAAAAGCCTCTCTCAAAATTTGAATCGCGGACCTCGAAAGCACCCTGAAGAGCAAGATCACTCTGATTCGTCAGGCCTTCCGGAACAGAGAATCGGAGGATGTCAAGCTTGAGCTGGGGGCTACTATCGCTTTCTACGACTCGCTCCTGACTGCTCAGCAATGCTTGTATCGCAGAAGCCGCTTAGACGAACGGGGTGCTCTTTCAGAATGATCTGTGCCACTGGCTCACTCAGCGCTTTTGTTCTCCTTCCTCCACATTGCTATCGGCGTCACTCCCGCACGGGAAAGTACTGCTTGGGCGATTTCGAATCTGGGGCAAGAAGGGACGAGCTATTTTGAAGATGTGCTGACTAAACCATCCGATTTCAAAGCATAAGCAGGATCACCTACGAAGGAGCACCCGATGGACGGGTGGGATGCGTCCTCTCGTATTCCTGCGGGACCATTGCTCCCCCAGAGGCCCATGCCCGGCGAGTAGGGAAGCTCCTCACTCCATCTCCGCCTGAATCGCGACTCCTCGGCGCAGGATCATCAGAGTGTGAGAACTTCTATCGCGTTTCATGTCGATGGAATCTTCTGGGAATTCATCGTACGTGCTGGTCGCTCATCGAAGATGCTCTACTACAAGGCAGCGGCTGTCCTTGAATCGTCGCTTTTCAAGAGGAGCTGCCTGTGAGTTCCGGGTCTACACCACATGCCTGATAAATAAAATACTTGCACAGCTAGCCCGTCATACGGAGTAGAGTACAGCCTCGCCCTGGCAGCGTCAGCATTTTCTCCGATCCCGGGTCAAATGGATTGTCGCATTCGGCAAAAGATTTACTCTCAAATCGAGCGCGGAGTGTCGAATGAGCTCAGAGGGTAGGGAACTTCAATGACACGAAGCATCGTAGCAGGTCATTGGAGCGTCCACCTGATCCAATCGATGAAAATCTCGACCGAGGAATTTAAAATCGTGGCTCGGTTCCATCCATGCCCTTGATAGGAGCGAGTCGGTAAAACGAAGAGCGAATTTCCTATAAGTCTGACCATATAATGATTTCGTGCTCCATGTTCTCGATTCTCGGGCGCAGAAGAGGGCGGCTCTTCGGGCTACCTAAGAGACGAAATTATCTCAATGTAGTTCTTCAGCATCTTCTGCATTCTAGAATCTGGGCGTCGCATTTTCTAGAGGGTTACCTTCGACCTCATTTCGCCGGTCGAGGATCGAATAGGCGCCAGGTGAATTCGGAGTGACGGTTGGGTTTCTTCAAGCACGACATCTCTCACACTGGAAAGCGACAGGGACAATGAGGTTTTTTTCCGAAGTCATATGGGAAGTGCGCATTACTCTCCTGGTGGCGAGACGGTATGGGCCCGAGAAAGGCTGACTCCACAAGTTTCCTCAGACCTCCTCAGTTTACCCTTCTCTTGAAAGAATCGGTAAATCGAAAAAGTGATACGCCCTCTCATGTATGTTGATGGGATCCTGAGCGGTTGGAGAACATCAACCTCCCCAAGCCAAGATTTTGCGAGGAAAATTCTGGGAGCGATTTGGAACCGTTCGAAATAGAGGGAGCGCGCGGGAGGGATATTCTCACAAATATGAGAAGCCCACCCCGACGCGTGGTCTCGAATGGTCGCAGACCTCCAAGAGAAGAAATGACTGAAGGAGAGGATAGAGTGGTGGGAAGCGAAGAAAATAATAGATGATTCATTGGTCATGGGCCCCTCCACTGAAGCTTTCCTCCGTGAATTAGGGAAGAGAATAGAAAATATTTCGGGGGACAGGAGATCAACAGAATTCTTGCTGCAGAGGATCTCTATCGACGTCCGACGGGGGAACGGGGCAGCCGTCAGCGGTTCTCTACGATCTGAGCCTGTTCTTGTGGGGGTCGGCTAGGTCCCTCTTGAACCCACTCATCACTCTTCCCTTCGAATGAAAACTTCTCTTTTGAGCAAAAAAAATAATGGTAAATGGCGCATCGCTGCCATGAGATAGCGTATGGTGGAACTCCTCAGCAGGTATGAGAGGGACTTTGAGATTGGAGCCTGACACATCATGATTTCCTCGTCGCATCTATCGCTACCGTCTATTTGTGGTGTCCATGAATATGTGCGCATATCCATCCCGTCAGCGGCTGATCTCCCACCGATCATAGGAGTTGCCGACGATCCCTCGCAGCTAGTTCTCGCTCGTTCGAAATGTATTATATTTTCTTCCTGAGAGGCGGCTCACATAGCCGAAAGTGGGCTACCACTTCCTCGGACGCTCGGTGTGTGTGTACACTTATTTGCTTGGTGATTGGTCATCATGGGAGTTCGGGGATCGGTAGGTACGCGGAAGAACGACCGGACCAATCGACAGCTCCGTGCTTGCGGGCAGCAGGGAGCAAAACTTCCACTCTCTTTTTCCCCTTCAACCACGTTCTGGAGGGGCCCGTGCCAATTCGGTGCAGAGGCGAGCATTCATCAGCATCTAACCCGAGCAGCGACAGATTCCCGAGGTTCAGTTCGACTACATTTCGCTCCCATGAGTCTCCGACAAAATGAGACCAATGGAATATTTTGCCTTGGCTCTTCCCCGAGAACTTCTCAGGCAGGAAGCGACCTTTCTGAGAGGTTTTAGCGCTAAAATGACGGATCGGAAGAAGCCAACCAGCGGGGATGCAAACTTCTAGTCATGTCTCTCACTAACGCAAGGGTCACACACTTTCGATTCGCCGAAATGATTGCTCTTAATGCGATCGGAGCCGTGGCGTATCAAGGACTCCCTCCGCGCAAGGGAGTGTAGGAATGATGAGTCTCCCCCCTACGACTTAAACTCGATGACGAGCTATCTCTGACTTCCTATCAAGAAGAACTCCCCACGATCGACTGCGCGAAGCTCGGCAATCGATGGCACGGATGAGCGCCTGCGGGTGTGTATGTAGAATTCCACTATGTGGTAGTTTACTAATGACACATTTGAGCGGCTTCTGATGCATCATTATGCTGCTCTGATTATCCTCGACGAAGTCGTGCTAGCGGTTCTTCCCTCAAGTGTAACCAACCAAAAACAAAGTTCCGCTCTTCCTCCGGAGACTAGTCTCAGAGCTACCAGCTGTAGCCGATGGGATTCGGAGGTGTACACACAGATCATATCGCGGAAGGACAGCGCTCACTCATCCGGTGAAGATTTTCCGGAAGACTGGGAGTACCAATTCCGGAACCTCGGCTAGCGGTATATGATCATTATTTGTGAGCAACATTCGAGTATGATGCGGACGGTTTGCGGGAGGAGATCGGGCGTCATCGTTTCGGGAAGCTCTGCCACAGTGACACAAGGGTATGACTCCTGAAATCACGGGTCTGATGAGCCTGATCTGACTGAGTGTTTGCCGCGAGGCTCGTCTGCCCTGGAGATCTACTTTGCGAGGTCATGACTCTCGACTCAGTGCTGAGGCGATGAAGCAAGTCCCGCCCTAACTCTAGGGAACGGTAATCAATTGGCACCGATTCGAATGAGGTAGTCGGTGTGAAGCAGATGTGTCGCTGGAGTGCATATCAGCTCCCGAAACATTGGTGAGCTATGGGATTCATAAGTGCCTATGGCTCGAGAATCTCGTCGGTCGTGGTCTCCCTATGACGTGTTTTCAACTCTCGCCCTATTATGTTCCCTCAGCGCCTACGTGCCATCGTCCGAACCTTATCTCAGTCAATCAGACATAACTGTCAGCATGGTTCCTGGGTTTTAGGCTTCCCTTGGAGAGTAATCCCCGCATCGAACGCTGCAATCAGTTTTTTTGGAGCTCCGGCAGATTCGGCTTGACGGGAAGGATTCCCCTTAGGAAGCTCTCCCCATTCGAATTCGGTCTCCGACTTAGAACGGAGTCTCTTGTATTGGACGTGCTAATGATGACGCAAATTTATTGGGAATTCAATGTTGGCTTAAACTAAATGAATGGCGCATAAATATTGAGTCTTCTATCGATGTAACACTCGATAGAAATGGGCAGGGAACGCGGCCAGCACGGTCCTCTGGCTCGACTACGAGTCTGTCTTCTTTTCGGTCGTCACGCTTAAATAGTCTCGGACACGAATGGAGGTCAACTCCGTCGAGTATTGTCATACGTCGCATTCGTCGTCATTCTTCCTTGCTTGAATCGGATGTCCTTCGCGGATTTATTTACACAACAACCTAGCAAGCGTACTGCGATTTTTCGCTACGTGGTCACTCTCCTGCCAACTCTCCGCTCCATTTGTGGATAGGGTCCGTTGAACGACGAGATTTGAGCGTTCTCTTGATTCGGAGCTTTACTCGCTGACGTGAGCGCAGCCGCTCGAGGCAAATAGATACCTGCGGTCTCGGTGTCGAAAGCTGCTGGAGGATAGGGAGCGGGTGTCGGAGCAGTTTGGTGATTCTTGTGGGCCTCAGAAGTTGACCTGGGCGGGCCTCGGTACTGCGTGGGGATCGGCTTTGGCGCCGCTGTTGATATCGTACGGCTGATCTTGTGATTGGATCGATACTGGGAGTCGCTCTGGTCCTGAGGAGTCGAATGGTGGATCGGAGACCGCTTATGCAGAACATTGGGATCGGGTCCCAAATGATCTTGACTCAATGAAGACTGAAGCTGTTCTTGTGCACTTCGCGAATTAGGAGCCAGTCGGTGACGCGGCGTACCACTCACGGAGCTGACTGGAACAACGGAACTCTTCGATCCGATTTCGTTGCTGCCTGATTCGTCTCCCATGCGGTTCTGGAAGTTAGGGTAGAAGTCTGGCTTGGCTATCGAGTTTGCCGGGAGCCCTTGTGTGAAGTCCACCTTGTATGGAGGTCCAGGCGATTTCGACGGCTCGATTTTCGAAGAGCGTAGTGGGACAACCGTCTTTTTGTTTGTTGAGCTCGATTCGAAGAATGATTGCGCCGCGTCTTCGTCGAAATCCGAACCTTGCATCATCGAGTGGACCGGGGAACCTAAACCGAAATTCTGAGGAACTAAAATGGCGATCATCCCCGGTGGAACTAGGACCTTGGAGTCGGAGTCCGTCCGCAGAACTTGGATATTCGGCCGACCCTGATTAGCGGGAGCCGCCTTCTGGTCCTTTGCGCTCAAGGCGATCACCATCGGATTTTTCGAGCCGGGCTGCTCGCGACGCTGTTTCGCGTTCTGGAGCTCCAATAGGCTTCCGTAGTCAGAACCGAAATTCGGACCGACATTCTGAGAGCTTTTCTTCATCGGGATCGCTAGGTTCCAGTCGTCTGTGGGCTCCGGGTTGAACTGCGGTTAATTTGCGAAGCGTTAGAGACGCATAATCTTGGAATCCTAGCGGGGGTGTGGGACTGACTCTGCTGAGAATGAGGGTTGGTACGATCAGGAACTGTCTTTGGGAACTTTCGCTCACGTTCTCGTTTTTCCCGAAGTCCATGTTGCTCAGTGAGTTCAGAGAGGAGACTTTATTCGGGTCGACCTCTGAGATGATGTAGGTGTTTCGACCGTTGCCGAAGGCCTTCTCTTCGGAAAAGAATTGCTTGGGAACATCGAGATGCATCGGCTGTGAATGCATGTATGATATGCTCATAATGTGACCTTCTCCCTCATTTTTTGTCAGGTTGTCCTTGCCGCGGCTGAGAAGCCTGCCGGGCAGGCCAATGCATTCAAAGTCGAAAAACCGGCTGAGTGGTAGAGTGTCTCGAGCGAACTCAAAATGTAATACCGCATTGAACGAATTTTCTCCAAATTCTGTCCTTTTGATGCAGAAATAAATATTGAAAACAGATGAAGTAAGATGAATTGATCAATGAAGGAATGAATGATGATTACTGTTAGAATGACAAGGGCTTGAAAATACGCATATTACTATCTTTCCGTCATTGCTATGAGTGAGTTATCCGGACCGGGACTGCTTTCAGAAGTCGTTGGATCTATGTCGTATGGCCTTACCGGAGCAGGCGCAAACTGAGGTACGAATCCACGGTTCCCGTGCGACATAGGAAGTCGGATTATCGTTGGCCCGCCCCCAGCCATGGGTCGTTGCGAACCAAAAAATCTTCTTTTGTCGGGATTTCGACGAGACGGGATGTTGATAATCTGGATCTGTCGAGAAAACTCAGCATCAAAGTTTCGTGATAAGTTCTTTCAGAATTTTTTTGTTTCGAACCAAAATAGCATGAGCCATCTGACTCGCGATTGAGTGGAACGGGTTCTATCGGGAGTCTGGTGTCACTACAGTCAAGCTGGGAGGCCTCTCATCCCGTGAAATCTTCCGAGGGTGATACTCACTTCTGGTTCCATCTTGTTCTTGTGGAGCTTCCGGAAGTTACGACTCTCTCCGAAAGATGGATCATCGTCTCCATGAATCCCATCGAACGGAGCGCGGAGTACCACAACTCTCATATTGTTCTGAGACTCTTCAGGATGTTTATTGTTCGCTGGACTGAACCAGCCGTTCTTGCCTTAGGAGAAAAAAGCGTATTCGTTCCATTAGAAAAGGGGAACGGACCTAATACGCAGCCGCAGATCACGAGCCGCTTTTCTTCTCTTCTTCTAATTCACTCCCTTGTTACTTGGCTCAATGCGACTTCTCCCGACGTTCATTTCTTCGTATGCCTCAAGTGTCCCCGGCTCCATCATTGAGCTCGGACTGGGCAGGAAGACTTGGCTGTACGTACCCGAGGAGAACTGGATGTTTTTGTTTCCGTCAGGATAGTTTCCTTTGGCAATTATCCGAGGGTCAGACGCCCAGATCGTGGGTCCGGTGTACTGCATTGAGAATTCGGATTCAGGTGAAGACCAGCAGAACCATGCGGATCTCGGATAAGCAAACTTGTCTCGTTCTATAATTTTTCCGTTCGGCTCATCCAGACACTTATGATTCTCGGTTGAACAGCTGCACGATACTTCGGAGCGATCCCATAGGGCTTCAGCCTAATCGCTTCGCTTTGCCTTAGCGCTTTCTTGGAGCTAGGATCTTCCTTACCTTGAAAACTGGCATCGAGCCCCTGCCCTTAACAGGAGCGAAAGACATTGGGGAGAAAGAATAAGGCATATTTGACGGGAAACCACTGTTTTTGGTGAATTTCAGAGTGGTCGATCCATCAAAATTTCCCGGCAGACCAAAAGCAGGCGCCAAACTCGACGAGGACATCGTGTTCCCGACAGCGTTTTCGGGAGGCTTCCGTTTCGATCTGTTCGGGAGAAACTCATCGTGAATTCTCCCCGATCTCCGAGATCCTCTCCCAACAAAACTAGGCACAAGGGCTTGGGAACGGAAGCGAGATCGAGCCATCCGAGCGGGAAAGTACACCTCGGACGATGTGCGACCAGGGAAGTTTTTCGCTCCGACGGATCACTCGAACAAGCTCGATGATCTACCTAATAGCATACCTGATTGGACCAAGACAATATCAGACAACATGCACTCACCCCGTTAGCCTCTTGAAAATATTAGGTGTTTTCAGGGTGGGTATCCGTATCGTGTATTCGGTAACATTCTTTGAGTCGAAGAGCACCGCGCTGTTTATTGATGGCATCCGTAAGTGTAGAATCGCGATACTGCTCAGCAGTGCCGTGCTGAATTTCATCCTGATTGATACCCTGGAAGAAGAAGCCAATCGGATTAAAATATTTTCCCGCACGGCGCGTCACCTGAAGTTCGAGTACGGCTCTGCACACTCCCCGAACGACCCCTCCAGCCAATCGTTCGCTTCGAATTCGCGAACTGAAGCTCGGCACTGATAGAGAATTTCCGGCCCTCAAGTTCGGCAATCCCGAGAGCAGTGAGTGACTTGCATCCGCGGCAAAATGCAAACCCCCTCTTCCCATTCTCTTGGCGGGATTCGATTCCGAGCCATCAGCTGCATGTTACCTTCACCAAAGTCAGCGTCGCTGCGATCGTGCATCGAATAGCAGATAGAGACATCGATCCCTTCGATGACGGGAGTCTGCTGCACAACCATCCGCACTGCCAATAAATGCTCTCTCCGCGCTTGTTCCCAACGAGCACCTCTGTCCGTTCGCTCATTGTATACTCATGCAACGAATCACCCCATTACCGAGAGGGTTGAGGGGCTTTCAAGAGACCGAAGCGTAATGGCTTGGGGAAGCAACATCTATTTAGTTTTTCTAATTCTTTCACGCGTCCGTACGCCTCAGCAACCCGAATGAAGTCCTGGTGAAGATGAGCACCCACGAAAGAATCGACCCCTGACTTTGTGGCGATGCTTTCTCTGCGTTCATAATTTTAGCTTTTGTTTATTTCTTTTCTCGCGTCGGTGGACACCTCTGGTGGATCATACCTTAGCTAGGCTCGAAAATTGCCCCGGAACACACCGGACACAATTATAGGGGCTCTGAAATAGATTTATGTGAATGTGCCTTATGGTTCAGGAAAGCGTAGAGTGATCGAGTGATCGATTCGCAAACGGCATCTCAGGCACTTGATCTTCCGCTCGTGCCGTCCCCGGTCACTAGGGTGTTCGGACCGATTCGAGTCACTACAGAAACCCGGATGAGATCGAAAGTCAAGCAGATACGAAGCTCAGAGTGCCGGCTGCGGAAGTTCGCGGGCGACTACCAAATGAGCACTGTCACACGGTTGTCTCCTGTTGAAAAGTAATGTGAGGTGACTCGCGATAGAAATTCGTGCACGAAAAAAAGCGTTCCCATTTTCCTCAAGCATCTGCGGAATTATCAGGGGACTTCCATCTGAGCAGGTCACGCGGAGACGGGAAACGTCAAAAGTTCTGAAGATTTTGAATATCGATGTCGACGACAACCGCGACCGCGACGACAGCGTTCAATCGTTTGCCAATGTTTGCTTGCGAGCTTTTCCTGACGACTGCTTCCTTCGGTACCACTCGTCGCTTGTTGTCCGTTCCTGTTTTGATTTCATCGAATATTTCTCTGCACGGCATCCTTCTGGAATTTTCGCCGCTCTCGCGTCACGAGTCAGCGCAACATCGTCACCGCAGTCGCTGTCATCGGCGTCGCTGTTTCCGTCATCAGGATCATCGGAAAGAAGAATGAAAGTCTTTAAAATATCGCACGCTGCTGATGACCCTTCTTCGGCGCTCGGTGCGGCCGTTTCGGTCTGAATCATGGTAACTTCCAGCGAACAACCTGCGAACTGTTCGTCGTCCGCTACTCGATCGAAAGGAATTCTGTGCGCCATCTCCAGCCAAGGGGATCCATCGCCCCGTTGCGGAATCATCGCTGGAATGACACTCTGGGTCCCGGATGGAGCTCCGGTGATATTCCCCTTGTCGGAGCTCGTTCGAGGCTTGCTCCTTTGATGGACTTGTAAACACTATCCGACCTAATGCGGAATAGTCCGCAAAATTCGAGCTTCCGACAGGGTGAGCGGCGGACCGTCTGAAACAATCGATCCTTCACCTACAGCGAACGAATGTCTCCAACGAGCGCGTTGTCAGAATTCTTCGACACCCGGAAGTCATTCGTGCGAGATTGGATCACCGGCAAGCATTAGCGGGAGAGATCAATAAGGAGCTCCGATGACACGATATCGTCGCAAGCTCTGGAGCTCCGGTTTGATTTGGAAGAACAGAGGAAAAATTGAGTCTACGTTAGCCGAAGGAGAAGTGTCGGAAGCAACGCTGGGAGTAATCGACTCTCGGGATTTCCTTTGTATTTATGCTGTGCCGGCCATCATTATCGAGGCCTCTCAGATCGAATCGAGCGGAAATCCACGGCGGATAGACCCGAGTACGAGGGGTTCCATGGGTAACGTAGGGATGATCTTCAAGGAGGTACCCGATTCGTCGTCCTCGATTCAGTCTATCCGGATCGAAGATCTCAACAGCTTCCTCTGGGACCACACTCTTTCGATTTCTACAAGGCTCAATGATCAGAGTCGCACCGACTCAAGAGGGCCTGATGCGGGGGCGTTGGAACACCTCTCTTACCACCTCTTATCGGTCATATTATCTTAGGATTCCACGAGATGCATCACCTCAGTAAGTCGATCAGAACTCACAACAGATTCCGAGAACTTGTGACTGGAGCGCCGCTGGGACCCAATGTGACTGTCTTCTTCTGAGATTCGTTTCTGGCTCCTTAGCGATGCTTGTAGAGCCCGAGCATTAGACGAGCCAAGAGCTTATTCAGAATGATTGGTGCCACCAATGGCGCACCGCTGTCGGTCTTGTTGCTCGGAATCGCTGTCGACGTCACTTCGGCGTGAAAAACTACCGCTTGAGCGACTTTGGATCAGAAATAAGAAGAACCGAGGCATTTGGAAGTTGCGCTAGCTAGCCTCTCCGCTCTGAGAGCGAGTTATAGGAGCACATCTGGTGGTTCCGGGGGAAATGTCCCCCCCTAATGTCGTACTCGTGACGGACCAACAAGGGAATCTGATCATATCCTCTTGACGGAGAGATTACCGTTTGGATCTCTGCCCAGAACCACGCCCCCGCAGCTTCATATCATCATGGATACCGTTTCCCGAGACTCCCGGTCAACTTGGAAACTTTCGACCGGAAACGCCAGATCTATATGCACCGAGGCTCTTCGCGATATCGAGGTGGAATTCGAGCTGCAGCTCTCCGAGGTGGGTCAGCGAAAGGCACCCGCACCTTGACAGAGGAGCCAACTCCGTTGTGTAGTCGACCCTGGGCCAAGATCCCCGCACTACTAGCTGTCGTGGTTCCTTTGAGGATTAAGTCGAAAACATCTTCCTCGCTCATCGAGGAGGAAGATTTCGTTGACATACTACGGTATCCAGCACTGGTACACGTTCCCGATCGAGCGAGAAGCTTCATTGAGGTGTATCCACTGGCTAAGCGATAAGGAAGTATCGATCACCGAACCAGAGAAATTTATCGGAATGACAACCCTGCCCGATCGGTCAGATGTTCAACGGAGTCAAACAAAGTGGCTCCGGTCTGCATCGGAGCGCAATGCCCGTGATAAAAAAATACCGGTGCTGCTGAAAATGTGGCTCTCACTCCTCCCCGGTGCTTCTGTGCATTAGAACTTCCGTCAGAATCTTTTAAAGGGTTCGCTTTATTACAGAGCGAACGGAATTTCTCGTAGAAACTTCCTTGGCAATTTCTGCACCCATATGTCTCGCTCAAGTGTTTCCTTATAAAAGAAGCCCAAAACGCGTTTCGCTGCCCAACGACTGGAAGACCGGCGGGAGGATTCAGAATGTCCGCCGGCTCTTTGTGAGCGCGACATGCTTCACACTGAACTGCTTCAGGAACAATGCTTCGGTGTGCAGTCATAAGAGAAGCGCGCATATTCTACCGGGGAGGCACAAAATGCTTCCAGGACTTCGCAAAGTCCCTAGAACATCTTCTCCTGACAAAATCGAAACGTACGGTTTTGAGGGATCGCAGACCCCGGGAAAAGGAAACGACCGAACTAGCGAATGGAGCGGTCATGCCACGATGAAAAAAAATCATAATAATAAATGATTCAAGGGGTAAGAAGATCATGATAGATGGAGGAACGCCGCCTCGGAATAGTTTGGATGGCTCCACGACGGAACCGAAAGAAAATCTTGCGTAAGATCGGACCCCGCTAACGAGATTTGCTCGCGGGGTGAATCTCGGTTGACGAGCTTTTCCTTGGATGTATCGCGGAATCGCGTCCATCGATCTGAGGTTTCCTACGGACAAGTCTGCCCAAACCTTCGTTTAGTAGTCTGCCTTAGATTATTATCGGACTGACCAACGATCTTTTGCCGGGAGTTCCTGTTCGTTCGAAACGGATGCTAACGGTCGCGTGCAGCCTAAACTCAGCTACCACACCCTTGGTCATTCGGTGTCTTCAGATGCTAAACACACACATTTTCGAGTGATTGCTCATACTGAACGCTTCGAGATCGAGCTGCGGAACGGCAGCACGACCAATCGACAGCTCACTCATCCTTGCTTGCAGAAAGCAATACTTTCGTTTGTTGATCCTTCTTCAAGCGCATATGTATAGTAATCTAGACGCCCTACGGCGACTCGCGGCACAGACGGGCACTCCGCGGCATCTAATCCGTGCCGGGGTAGCAATCAGACACACAAATTTGTTCCCCGACCAGTCCGTCGTGGCAGAAATTCTCGGGCAGTAACCGAAACTTCTGGGGGCGGATTCACCGGCCGATCACGGGTCATGAGTCAGATGGAACGAATAATCTCCCGTACGGAGTGAGGACGACACGCACCAGACTTACAACGAAGCCTGTATCGGATCACTCTCAAGGAAAACCTGCTGTCTCGGAGTCTCCCGGTCTCCTCTCAATTCATAGACTTCCGGTTCGAATTATGTTTCTCAAACATAATTGTTTTCCGCCGGAATGACTTATTCAAATTGACGCCATGGTTTTTAGCAGAAGGATGTTTCATATGTGAGAAATTAGAAAGCCCAGAGACCCAATTGTGCAGCGGACTAAGCTGAGGCGAAAGTTGCGATTCCTATGCCGTTGCAACGCCCGGCTGATTCACAGCACCTACACAAAAACAGAAAATCTGCTACATCTCAGCTAAATGTGTTCGTGAGTAACTATGTAATCGAGGCATTAAGGAATATGTACCAAAAAATAGAATTATTTCGATCCGTTGTCGAATATCAGACCGCCTTCTCATCTCTAATTAGGACTTCCTGCTTCATCATTCATCAGCGGAATTCAGTATTCCCGAAACCCAAGAGCCGACATCTTCCGACAAGAACGGGTTGAGGCAAAAACCTCAGCGTTTCCAACAGGAATACCCTTCGGGTACGGATCGCGATGAATTCGGGTGGCCTGACGCGACAGAAAAAAACAGCTGAAGTGAAGCACCCCAGCCGAGCTCCTATTTGAGGGTTCACCAAGATATCCGAGGACGAATGGCCATTCCGCGACGAATGACGGTGTTTCCGTTACGTATTACGGCGTGCAGAGCCGGATGGTTCTAGAGCATTTTATGTCCGTCGCACAATGCCCAACAATGAAAGTATGAGAGCCGATGAAGTTATCTGATCGAACAACCACGGGATTTCATTTCGGAAGAGCTCATGAAACGCGGTTCCGTGTTTCAACAGTTTTCGCGTGCTTTGTTCGAAGCGTGACACTTTCTCCCCCTCGCCTCGATCTGCTCTTGATCCGCAATACTTTATTTGCGCTGCGTCCCGTCGCACGTGCCATGCCGAGTCATAAAACGAAAATTCACCCGACTGTTGATGGAGTCTCACGGTCCGCGGCCGACTCCTGGAAATTCACGCGAATCTACTCATAATATGATGATAAGCTCGGTCGTGATAGACGAATCGCGACCAGGGAATCCCAGGTCAGACTCTGGGCTCCGCAGGAGGGCTGAGTTGTTCTCTACAATGTTTTTTGGCTACTTCATCTCTCATCTTGTCCCACCGGAGAACAATCAGAACGAAAAGCCCACGATGCGTAAGCGCGTAGAGTCATACTCATCCGTCCTGTAGGTCGCCGTCCTTCGCCCCCCCCCCTCAACGACCTCCCTGACCAGGGCCCTTGGCCTCGAGTTCCAGGGTTCAGAGCTCAGGTCTCGCCGGATCTTGTCCGAGGGACCTGACCAGACATTTTCCTGAATTGTACGAAAACCATGGAGTTTCCCACCGAAACCAAAGCTCCGCCGCTCTCCGTGGGCTCCCCGAAGGGTAGCCGCCGACTTCCGGATCCCTACAGTCGAGCCCCCTTCCGAGGTACGATTTGCATGAAGTCCGCGGAAACCTGCGGTGATTCCACCTCTCGCTCGAGTCCCCGTCGTGCACGTTCCTTCATACTGACCTCTCTACCCTTCGCGGAATGCGTCCCGAAATCAGCTCCAGAAACTGCACACGTGCTTAATCCTTGGTTCAGAACATGCCACCGCTTCACAAGTTCCCGTGACTCTTCAGTCAGCCCGTCCGTCACTCTTAGCTGGCTCTGCAAGCGGTTCCGAATCAGCTTTCAGTTTTGTTGGTCTTCTTCGTTCCAGTGGCTCCGTCACAATGGCGAGGGAAAGATGAGAGGCATGATGACACGCGCGTTATTATCGGCTGCGAGGCTTCTCGACTAGGGGTATGGATCGAGAGAACATATCAATTTTCCATCACCACTACATAAACAAGCGATTTTGTTATTCGAACATCGTCGATATGGTTTGTAGGAATCTAGACTTTTCCTCGAGCATTCTACATCCCCGGGGCACGATGATTCCAGCTTTCTCATCCCCGCTCCGCGCTATCTCCCATTTCCCTGATTTCGTGACGTTCAGATATTGGAAAAGTGCTCTCTGAGAGAACATTCGACTACGATAGACTCGAATCGATCCAGAGTATTCCAGGCTCTAGCGGAAAAAAGCAAGCTGTGTCTCTCTAGTGAAGAAAAAGCTCCCCAATGAAAAACCGGAAAGATCATGGAGTTTTCTCGTGACCTTATCGTGAGTATCCAGAATAAGTCATCGACTCCGCCTCGTGACTCGGGATCGGGGTGCGCTGAGTGAGTACAATTATTGTGGAGAGCTCGACGGGATGGAGGAACCTCTATCGAAGAGTGTCGTGAGGGAAAACACAAAGCGACAAAGATGAAAAAAATTATTCCACTGGTACTCCGCCATGTTGGATGAATCAATCAATCAATCAATCAATCATCTAATGACTTGATTGCTGCTAGTTCAACACCCAAGACAGTGCGTCGCTACAAGACTTCTGGGAAAGAAAGTAGGAGCTTTTTTGTGGGAGACCTTCTTCGGTGGAAGCTTTCCGTGTGGGAACCTCCGAATCAATCGGTCGCCGAAACAAAGATCTATCGCGGAACGAGTGTTCCCCGACTGTCGGCGGGCCCCCGGAGGAACCAACCGTAGATTCGGAACATCTGAGCCAATGTGACAGGGGTATCGATAATATAGAAATGAACAGAGAAAGGCTTGAAACAGAATGGGCGTCAACGGAAGGAATATCGTCGCTCGGAAAGAATCGAAGACAATCACTCTTGGCTGAGAAAGCTGCAAGCGGAGGATTCTGCGCGCGATTGAAGACTCACGTCCAAGCATCGCGCATTCCACAGCACGGAGCTGGCGTTACATTTTCCCAAGGGTCAAGTGGAACGTTTTCCTGGTAAGCTTGAACCTGCTAAGCTCAGCCGAGCCTCGGCAGTGTTATTCAAAAGCGAAGCTGGGAATCGGATGCTATATACCGGAGTAACGGGATTCGTCACCGCATTGCGAGAAGAACAATGTCACCTAATATTTGTGTTTATTTCTCCCGTTTCCTGGTGATCATAAGGTCTCCGTCGGCAAGACGGAAAATACGGCTTGATATATCTGGTTCAAAAGTCGGAACCTGACCATCCGGAGACGATCTGCTCCGTACCGCGCCGTATCCACGACGCCTCGGTCACGATGCGATGACGAAGTCGCCACTGACGCAGTACGGGAGCAGTCCGAGAAGCGACGCCCTTACGCCCCAAAAATCTAAACGACAATCGAGTTCAAGCCTGTTGTCACAAGTGCACCTTGTAAAACAAAACGAAACCAGCGTCGAACACAATGCCCGACTCTGTTCCACTTCCGCTCTTATCGACAGCTTATTTAAGCGGCTTCGACGAGAAGAAAGGATCATCATTCACAACTACGCAGCGACTAAACTTGTCATTAATTCCATCATCCACTGGGACTCCGCAGAATTCCGGCGACGGTTATAATAACTTGACAACGATCGTAATAGAAGAAGATATTTCCTATATGTGCATCTCTGCTCGTCCGCGAACACGCATCGCCCTTGATACCGTGGTCCGCACGCTTCCCTGTTCCGGGGACCCCGTCAGAAGGGCTCCGGTGCAGCTCCGCGACTTCCCTCGAGAGAGAGCAATTTCCTCGGGTGGGTCTCTTACCAATCGAGCATCCATTGTCCGATGAAGACATTGACTCTCTCGATGAATCAATTAAGCAGCTCCATCGCGCAACCATGAAGCTCGACAGACTCGAGTACGGGGGCCGAGACAACATTTCGTCCAAGTGCAAAGCTGACTTCGAAAAAGTCTCTAGCTGGGAATGGGGTGGACGACCGAACCCTGCTCCGACTCGGGTAATTTCTGATTTTTTCTACTGAGGGCTTTCGACCGGACGGACTTGGAAAGACTTATGACTTCTATCCAGTACGTCACCTGTCGAGTCGGAACCAAGGCTCGCAGGACTTGCAAAGCTTAGCGGCTATTCTATCAAACTCTCATGCCGGCTGTTATCAATGGTCGAACGCCGACTGGAACCATGATCGATTTCCCGCTCGGAGCCCATATCAAGACGGAGTCGATAGACATACACGCAAGGCGCCGTCAAGAATCCCGTGACGCTATCCAGACACTGAAAATGCAGACCCTCAACGCACAAACTCGTTCGCGTGAATGTTGGTCGACGGACGGACAGCCAGGCAGTCGTGGTCGCTCATAGATAAGAAAACAATTTCCTCGCTTCAGATTTGAATTCGGAATTATTCGCATTCAAACGAGCGCGCGGTGCGGTTCCGGCGCAAGACCGCAAAGTGAAGAATGACACGCCAAGACTTTGAGTATTGTTTTTCCATGGTGAGTTCGCCACGCATTCCGAAGATGCTCCGGTCGTCATGGCCCCGCATCATCGTATTAGTGAGCGCTTACCTTAGTTAGCGGATGATGAGAAGACGAGCAGCGGAAAGCCCGGTCGTCAGACGAGAAATTATCGCTGTTGTTTTCCAGCGAAATATCGCGGTGTGCAAAGCGAACGACGACATTTTTCAAGAGTTCCCAGGCCACGCTTGGGTAACATTTGGAACATTTGCCCCTTCTCCACGGAAATGCTCCTCTGCTCGACATCACCTGCGGCTATAGTGGCGGCAGCAACGACAACAACATTAGCACCACGGAGTACCTCGTGTAGACAAAGGACTTTTTCGGCGGAATGTTGAGCCCGGCGTTCTCCGCTCCGAAGTACGATTCCCATCCCTCCCCTTCGTTTTCCCAAATGGAGGTAAATGAGCTGATCGACCGACCGACCGACCGCTGCGTACAGCTCGATTTTCTTTCCGTTTCGCCATTTTTTGACAGTGTGTCATTTGCTCCTCGGACGCTTTGTTACGGCATAGTCGCGATCGCCGATACCGCGTTGACGAACGGAACGATTCTTTCAGCTCCCAGCCGATGTCCGAGCGGGATTCCGAACCAGTCGGATACTGAGCTGATGCCTCCGTCTTGCTTGACACGACAAAAGGAGCGTAATTATCTCTACCGGACAACACCCATTCGGGGATACGCTTCGGACAGGCTCATCGACGATCAGATAGCGCCTTCTCTGAGGATTTTCATTACTCCGGCGGCTCCTATTGAGGGAGGGACGGACGGACGGACGATTGGGCTTCGCATGATTAGCGCACAGCAGAGCGGGGATCTCGCTGGCCCTCAATATCTCCCTTCCATGTCTTAGCTCTCGGGGTAGTGGTCGAGAGCTTCACCGACGAGAGACGACGCACCCGGTTTGGGAGGAGCAGTGATCGAATTATTTCTATATCATCAATCGGTAAACTCGGCATCCTTCCGCACCGAGAGCCTTCAGAGCGATCGTTTGATATCTAGCAACGACCGGAGCCCCCGGGGAACGAGACGTTTCCTCCAACGATACGGTCGGCAGGGGGGGTATCGAGGAGGAAGGACACACCGCAAAAACAGGGACCAATCCGACAGCGTCTTCGGAATCCAACAATAAGAGCCCCGGCCTTTTCCATCCCGGTATCATCCATAGAATTCTGTAATGGTCCGCGGATTATTGTGCACCACAGCAACTTTCAACCCGCGCAGAAAAGCACCCATCGACAAAAAAAACTTCCTCTGGTGAAGTTCTTTCAGATGTCGGAGCTGAGGAACCTAAGATATGCGTTTTTTCCCTCTTCAAAAATTATTCTTTGTTTTGTCCATGTTCGAAGATATAATGGCATACAAGCGTCACAAAGAACGCGCGGATGCGAGGGGAACCCTTGGTCGAAGCGAGGAAAAATGGAAAAACTTGAGCAGCTAACAATAGTGTTCGTTGTGCTGATCCAGATTACTTCTCCCCATCCGTCAAGGGGCACTAGAAGCAGCGAAGTCCCCGGAGCGGACAAACACGTTCGGTGACTAGATGACAAGTATGTATTCTTCTTTGTTGTCTCTTCGAAGTTTAGGCAATTGAAATGACAAACTCGATTCCAGATATTCGAGCAACAGCGCCTCCTAACCATCGGATTGCCGTCTCTTTCGGCCGACGACGATAAGGGGATACTAAACGGAAGAGTCCCGCGTGCGTTCCGACTCTGATGTCACGGAACTTTTTTCAATCGAGATCCGATTGATATTCGTTGATCCTTAAGCGGCGATCACGCCTCGCTTTGCTTCAGCCACTCGCGATTTGATGTGTTTCTGAAGCAAACGGGCGAAAACCCCAAGCGGAAATCGAGGGAGGCATCAGATTTTGCGTTTACCCGCTCATTGGCGATGAGAGCCACATCGCTGACTCAGAGGCGGCGATTGCAATAGGGAAATGATTCGTTGCAAGTATCGATGAAAATCGGACATCGGATGAAAGGACGGTGAGTCATTGTTTTGTTCAGGCCGGAAAAAGGCCTTGTCGGGCGAACGGCAACTCTCGGTGAACGCTGTGTGAATGAATGAAGAAACGCGCGGTCAAACGACGACCACTTTTACTTCCCGTAGACATCACAGGGATGATCTGGAGAAGTCCGCTGCTCACTGGACGTCTGAAGGGAACAAATGAACAATGCACGGTTGACTGAAGGCGACAAATTCACAGCTGTGCCGCTGCTGCTGCTACGACGACGACACGTAACAATGAGCGGTAGAACGAGAGCAGTAGCAGCGGCGGTCACGATGTTGCGACATAATTGTTGGTTACGCGTCGAGAAAAAATCTTCATCATACAGCTCATGAAAACAAGGTAATACGCCTGTCAACCGGGCTAGCCGAACCACCCCATCTGAAACGCGGCAGATATGAACACAAGAAGATAGCACTGCGATTTGAGCCATGTAAGCGATAACGCGGTCTGGCCGACAAAAACTTGGTTCTTGTCTGTCCCCAAATTGAGAGCAACCGACGCTTTCACTGAAGACCCCGCTTCGTAATCGCTTCTCCAGCATGTCCCCGAACAGTCTCAGCTTACGCACGCGACACACCGGAACAAAGAAGCTCGAAAGCTGCAAGAATCGCTCAATTTTCCTGGATCATCAAGTTCGGCAGAGATGGACAATTATTACGTGATTTAACGAATCACCGGAGACTGAAAAGCAATGAGAATTCACCCCGTGCCTCTGGAATGGATGGAGGGGAATCGGAAACGCTGGATTCAGACGGAAGGGCTAACTTTCGGCAAGGTCGTTCACGCTTCTCACAGGGTCTCGGCGTCTGTTGCTCGGCACGTGTTCCATGCTGAGAATCAGAAGAGCGAGGAAGCCTTACCTGTCACCTTTCGACTGACTGCCGGAATGGAACCGTTTCCTCGTCTTCTTTTCTGCGGCACAGCTTCACTGGGAAGTCAACGCAGTCTCTCAAGGGAATAATCTGAAGTCATTTCTCATGATCGACAAGATCGACTTTCAACTTGAGCTCCTGCTCCAGTAAGCGGGTCAATGAAGCCCTGACTGAGACGAAACACCATCAGTCATGGGGAAAACAGAAAATGCCAGACAAGGGAGAATCTTGTTCGGTATCCATCGAAGCTTGGAATAACGAGATTTTCACTTGATCCGGCTCTAATAGTATAGCCTCGAAAGTCATCTGTTGTGCAGAAGATATGCGAGCATCTGGAGTTCCGGCTCCGGCTCTAAAGTTTTTGATGTCTCACAGAGCCATCTGGTATTTTTGATGCTCGAATCGATGTAGGTGCCGTCGCGTATGCGCGACACTCGACTATGGGGCGAGCGAGCGCGTTTCCGAGGAACCCGATGCATTGTTCCAAGCGTCGATACTTGATGGTTAAGATCGTAATCATCATCTTTTCATCAATCGCATAGACATTTCCTCAATAAGAGTCAACCACTCATGAAGGGAGCCCCAGAAATGAATTAAGGGAAAAGTTGCTACTCTCGGTGCTTGACGATAAACCCGGATCGAGATTCTGGGCTGTAGACGAGAAAGGAAGCAGGCGGCCCAAGACAGCTCCTGCCGTGCTCCCCCCTGTTGTACTGGACGGGAGAGTGAAGGAAGCGATCTTGATTGCTGCTGATTCAATCGAAGAACGGAAATTCCGTGCTAGCGGTCACGGAGCGCGGAAGGATGAGTCGGAAGACGAGTGATCTGGGATACCGGCCCTCGAGTCCTATGATATTTGCCATAATCGCGAATGAAGACTTAGAATCGAAATACATAAACGACGATATAGTCGAGTCCGGAGCCTCAGGCTTCTGTCCTCGATGGAGCCTCATCGTCCCAGGCATATATGTGTCAGGAAATCGACCGATGCGACAATGAGTTGCGTCCGTGGATCACCGGAGCTCTGTAATTCAAGAATCACCCACCGATCAACTCATCATTTCTTGGGGAGGAATGGAGGCCAAAATTAAAGAACGTCGTGAGCTCCACGCTTTCACGATTGGGATTCAGAAACGGAGGTGGGACTCTGGGTCAGGTCTCCGCGGGGTAGAGACCGACAAGACCCCTCTCGGATGAGAGTAAGACCTCCAGGCCTCCCGGGAAACGTCGGCAAACGCTATGGATCCAACATGACCCAGGATGGACTGCATTGATCACCTAATTGAGTGTGCGGGAGCTCGAGACTTGAGACAGATGTCGTCGGGAGAGAATCCGCTCGAATGGGCATTGATTGATTCCATATTTTCATCTTGGATTGAATCTTGGTTTTGAGTTCGGGGCGAATGTTCTAATCATTCGTCCCATCGATCCGAGGGAGGTACCTTTCGGAAACTGACTTGCATCGCGTGCGAGTATTTTTCGATGGCAAATTGTTGATTTCGGTCTGACTGACCGCTCCAGCGCTTCCCAATTTGTTTCACTTCCTTCAAATCAGGGCGGAGGATCAGCGGCGATTCGGGGCATTTTTCTGTCCGCACTTTCTTCCAGTGTTATCCTCAACGTATGTCGGTAACGTATAATTCTAATGTGATGCTCTGACTAATACCGATATTTCGCGTAAATACCAGAACTGCGGACTGTTCGGACGTGAGTCGATCCGAGCGTCCGCCAAGTGTGTCAATATGAGAATATCTTCCCATCCGTGACGAGAGCCCTAACTGATTACCGGAAATCACAGTCGAGTCTGAGCGAGAAATGGAATTCCTGAATTGGAAGCATCTCAGAAAGACGGTGCGTCTCGATCGCCACGATTAAACAACAGAATGGTTCTTCCCCTTTCCGGGACAGATGATTGCGCAGCCGAGAAGACAGCCCAATAGAAGAGTTGAACGGACCTCGGGTGAGAAGCAGAGGTCTCCCTCTTTCTCGCGAGCAGCACTCTCCGAGCGGAATTTTCTGTGGTTTCTCTGGCGATCTTCAACGGTGATACTTCCCGTTGTAACAGTTCTTTGAGCGGAACTCGATCTTTCCTGTGGCTGGATTTTCTGGTCTGGACCTCACGTGTTTTTTCGTGGGTCTTCTGTTTCAAGGTTTTCCCGATCAGCCGATACTTCGTAAGGGCGGGAGCCCGTCGCGGATAACGAGTCACAATAGGAGGAGAATGAATTGAATAAATTGAGGGATTTACACGACCCGCTACTTCGTACGAAGCAGATCGAATTTACAGTATCGTTTATTCTTATCCACGGCTTGCAAGATTCACATGAGTTTACATGAATTGACGGATCTACTTGGCCTTCTTGTGGAGGAGTCCGTATCCGTGCCCGTATGCCAACGGCGCGTAACCGTAACCGTACATAGAAGCTCCGAGTCCGTAGCCAGTAATAAGAGCTGAAGATTTGAGCACGGGAGCCACGGGAACAGCGACCTTAGCGATCGGTGCCACCGCTAGGGACTTGACGACGGGAAGACCATAGCCGTATCCGCCGTAGCCGTATCCGAGTCCGTAGCCATGGCCAAGACCGTATCCGAGCCCGTAGCCTCCGAGTCCGTACCCGAGACCCTTATATCCGACTCCGTATCCGAGTCCGTAGCCACCGTAACCGCCCAATCCGTAGCCGAGGGACTTGTAACCAAGACCGTAGCTGCCGACTCCGTAGCCTAGACCGTATCCGCCCAAGCCGTAACCACTGAGGCCGTACCCTCCCAGGCCGTAACCTCCGTAACCTCCGTATCCGCCGAGGTAGCCGGCCGAGGCGGCAGCGACAAGAGCGCAGAGAGCGATGATCTGAAATGGAGATGAAATGTCCGGATTAATGCGGAAAAACGGTTCACCGAACACGAGTCGACGGGAACTGTTCTTAGTCCTTCGAGCTCCCCAGCTGTCTGGACTCCAAGTCGTACTCGCAGAAGATCGGCGATCTCCCGGTGGACAACCAGAGGACTGTCCTCTGAACGAAATCGGAAAATTCACTAGATGTTGATGCACGTACAGTTTTCATGTTCTCGAGAAGAATCAGATGGTGGAATACTTGCTGCTGAGATGCCAAGAAACGGTTATATAGCAAAACTGTGAACGGCCTTGGGGGTTACCGGTGGTCTCTCTCATGTCTGATGAGCGGACCGACCGACCAACAGACCGACTACTGATAGTTTGTAATTTCCTCTGACTCAAGCGTGAAACGTACTGACTTTGCGATTTTGGCCAGAATTATTTCTTCTGATAAACGAAAGCGACGCTTTCCAGAGCGCTCGCTTTTGGCTCGGAGCCTTTGGTGGTTAGTTTCCTCGGAGTAGGTGCCGACCGATCGTCATCTGAATATACTCGATGACTAAGACGTCGTTTGGAAGCTTTCGCTGTCAAAATAAAACAAAATTATAGTGCACTTCTCCACCGGCGACTTCTGATTGTCGTAGTTCACGCTGCCGGAAGATGGTGAAAATCTAAAATACCTCGCTATCCACGTACTCCACGGGGGCCTGGACCGATTGCCCGCTGCAATCATTTTAGGCGAGAATTCGTGAAGCGTTTCGACAGAATCCCCCGGATCAAAGTACAGTCGTTTCCGGAGTCGACTCTGAGGAATTTTCTAACCCGAAATGAACGGTTTTGTCATGCTCCGACTAACTTCCGTCCAGAAGCTAGCAGAATATTAGAAGGCGAGATATTTGCTTATACTTCTTTTTATACAAGGACTCCGTGACTGCGTTCGAAGCTAGATCATCGGCTTGTTGCTCCGGTACTCAGAATTTAAAACACTTATGGAACAAAACTCGACGATGCAGGGCTGTTGTGGAACCAGCAAGAAAGGCGTGACTGGCTCGGACGGCGGAATCGTCTCAGGGAGATCCTTCCGAGAAGAATCAACTCGACTGCAGATCTGCTTATGGATCAAAAGGAGCTCCCAGTGGAACAGAATCGATTGTCCGAAAGAGTAAAGATCCATCCTCCACTGATCTGCCATGTCTCTCGATACGACCAAACTCTCATAGTCTCTCTCTAAGTCGGAAAACCTCGGGGGAAATAAAAATTGAGAGCATGTTCACCGGCTCCACGAAGAATTTCCGGATTGAGGCTGTGATAAGCCCAACCAGAAGCCTGATTGTCCTCGAGGAACATCAATCAGTTCCGACCACAAGAATGCGGTGGTGCCGATACGGGAACAGGAAGAGAAGCGACATTAGTGAATAAGTTTGGCTCGCATCCATACAGTATGCTGGAGATCGGGCGAGCCGAGAGCAGGGGGCCAAAAAGTTGAACATCTCCCCACCATCTTGTTATAATAGCTGTTTCGGGAGAACAATCGCGGACGGTATCTGAGCGAATCGACGTCGGCAGAGCGAATCCGATGTTTGCCAGCTGACCGCTCCCATGTGCAACAACAATCGAATCGTTGGAAAACGCATGGGCTCGTAGATTGACGTGCCGGACCAGCTCATCCGACGCTCTCACATGCAAGGATGATGACTGAAGGCCGTCAGCAATCAGGAGCTGCGACGAAGGGAGTTGCACCTGAGGGGAAATCGTTTTCCGCACAGTGACTCCCATTGAGGAGATCTCGGAATCCCTCGGGAGCTTCGTACTCCCGGATCTCCTTTCGGAGGGAGGGCATCTGTCGAGCCTATGAACCACCCCGGAGGCGACACACGAATACAGATATTCATGATGCCGTGGTTCTCGGAGACAGAAAATCACTTGGAAAATACGTATACCATCATCATTCATGGCCTGCAGCAGAGGATTCGATGGTGGAACTCGGGGTGAGTGAAGCTACATGTCGACAGCGCCCTCAGACTAGAAACCGCAGCCAGCGACGCTCCGAAGTCTTCCAGTTTCCCACCCGACTCCATCGAAAAATCGTGGAGCATTATTGGTAGTTCCCATTCGGGATTCCGCTGCTCTACGTCCCGGGCAAATTTCTGAATGATCTCGAGCTTGCAATACCTGTACTAGAAGCTCGTTACTGTAAAAACTGGACGACTTTTTTCCTGCTCTGCGTGGTTTCCGGAACCAGTTCCGTCCAGGCTTGCTTTGTTAGAAAAGAAAAAATCCACTTGCTTCTCCGGTGGCTCGGATTGGGATCGTTGCCTTCTAGCTTGTTCGCCGCCTTGTGCTCTTTGCCCGGTCCCCTGATGTGGGAACAAGCGAGGAGAATCGAAGTCCAAATGACGTTCCTCTCAATCTACGAGATGGGAACATAAATTCTCCTTAGGCGCAGCGTCAAAGATTTTGTGCGGTCGATTCTTGTTTCATTATAGGTGGACAGACACTTCGAAACTATGCATGTTCAATGGTCGAGCTATGAATGGAACACGAATTCATGCTTCGAGATCACATCTCACCGGACTGGTTACCCCGGGGATGCTTCATCTACACCGCGGTGTGAATCAATAAATCAGTAATCTAGTCCCGGAGTGCAGTGGAATACAGTGCGACCTCAACTGGAGTCAGCAATCGGTGCCACACGGAGCGACTCGAGTGGAGGAACGACTCAAGTTGAGGTAAGGTTCTCTGAGTAGCTGCAAAATGGGTCTTTCCTGTAGTTCGGCCAAAAAGACACACTTGTGAGGACGTATTGAAGTGATGGAAGATACAACTCATGATCCGATGGAAAGTCTAAACAAATTCAATTTAGAATCGTCACAAGCGAGCGAAAAAACGACACATTTCGCTCTGTACTACAGCTCTTCCCTCGTCGAATCACTCGATCGTCGATCCTAGATCAACACGAAGTGCTCAGATGAATAATATCCCGCTCGAAACGCGGCCAAGTCTGAAAATATAGGTTCCATAGATCAGACAGAAATAGGTGATATTAAAATCTGAGCTGATTGGACCGCTCTTGTAACTAGCCGACTCTCTGTTGATTTTGCTTCACCAGATAGGATCGAGGAGAGCTATTGTTTCCAGTCTCCGCCGGGGAAAACCGGTGGCAGCATTGTGAAAAACAGTACCTGGGATTCTGTTACAAGCAAACCTCGGCAATCAAATCCAGCCCCCTGAAACGATTCTACTCTGGACTCTGGGAGACACCTGTCATCGATCAGGGAGAATCGGAAGAAGGTTCCTCTTCCTTCAGTGACCCGGGGAATCCCAGAAAACGAATTCTTAATTCTCCGACGCAGAGGCAGACGATCGAATTGGTAGTACCTAATCCTGAGGAATGGATCACTGTCCATTCCTGAGCAATCTGGAGCAATTGCGGGGAATACGGCAATCGGGAGCTCCGAATCGCTGGGTCTGACAAACCAAGTGAGTGATTTTATTGTGAGTGATTTTGATGCCTTGCAAATCGAGCCGACGCAGCGGTAACGAGAGGCGTTTTCTGACCGCATTTGAAATTACGAACTCTTAGAACTCCATCAAGATGAAGTAGAAGCGCATTGGACTGCAAACCGAAGGAGATCATCTTCAAACTGTTCGAGCACCATTCGCCTGCAGATCGAAACCAAACTCCGTGATGACCACCATAGAGCGACGCGCAGCTCGTTCAACTGACTGACGTTTCCGCATTTTTGTCGGTATGAAGGATCGACTCATTGTTCTTATCCTAGCCCGGAGCCCTTAGAATGATAGCTCCCAATCGAAACTTTCGGAGTTGTCCGGAGGCCGAGCTAAGTTAATGAAATACAAAACAAACTCGATTATATCACACTCGATTACATGACGCTAAAAATTTTGAAACTCGATTATATCACCTAGTTAGTGTAAAAAAATAGTGATATACTAATCGAGTCGGAGATGTGATATAATCGATTTCCCACGGAAGTCTATGGAAACTCGATTATATCACACTCTCGCTTATATCACCATTTTTGAAGACGAATTAGGTGATATAATCGAGTTTGGACCGTAGGTCGGATCGACCTTAGAATCGTTCGTACCCGAGGGAGCAGGGAGAGGTTTCGCTTCCTCCCCGAGTCTCCGATCCTGAGTCGCATCAAGGAATATCGGCTTCACTTTTTCGACTCAGGACACAGAAGCAGCTCCATCGCAGCATGAGCAGGTACGACAGCTGGATACCCTTTCGGCAATAGGGGACGCTCCGAATGGATACCCTGCTTCGGCCATGTATGACTGCGGGTTAATCAAGACCCAGGCCCGGCCGATGCCCATCGGCACCTGGGAGCTTCGATTCTTGGAAAACCTTTCAATGAGACGGACAATCAGAGTTTCGCCGGTACAGAAAGTCCCTGATTGACCGAGGTCAACAATTCCTAGGGATCTGAATCGGAATAACAGAACTTATTTTTATTCATTCATCCATCCATCGAACTTTCAGAACAATTCGAAAGATCACCCTCAAACAGTTAAATCCGAAGATTCATCGGCTCCGTAGATATATTACAAATAAGTTATTTGGACAGATTGGACAAGCGTAATGTATCACAATATCGGGCGAGGGGAGACTTCAGACTGGGAATCCACCCTCGATGTAGGCCCTATATAGGGAAATTTCCGCCCAATCGATATCTATCGCGAGGCTCTGTTTTATCTTGCTGCACGTGACTTTCGCGCCAAGCTTCTCCAGGATACCTTTGATTTGCACGCATTTTTCGCGGTCGAAACCGAGTCGCTCAAAATCTAGAACAACTCCTCTACTCAAGCAAGAAAAAGATTCCTCAAAATTATGCTTTCCTGCAAACCCAACTGAACCGAGATTTCGCTCAGATCCCGCCGTTCCCGCATGAACAGGATATAGCATTCGATCGCTTCCTCGGGGACCGCGCTGGGAACATCCGCGCGACTGTAAGTTCTTCTGGCGCTCTCGAAATCGGTAACATCGTTCTGTTCGCAGAATTCACGAATTTTCTCGACGAGAAGCATCCCGTAAGCATCTGCTTTGCGCATCGAGACCGCCGGGAGTTCCTTGAGCTCCTCGACACTCCGCGGGCATTTGTCCGCAATTACAGACAACATCTTGTTATCGAAAACACTGGTCGCAGGAAGCTCGTTTTGATTAGCGATCGAGTTCCTTGCCTCGACCAGCTGATCGAACAGAAGTTTTCGCCTCGGATCATTTATAGAGATCGTATCTTCGACTCCACTGCCAGAAGAGATCAGTGGTGTGGACGCGAGGGATTCGCTGGTGACTTTTCCGGTTTTTTCTCTTGAGCTAGGAGAAATGGTTCCGACGGTTGGAGCATAAATATCTTGCCATGGCGTAGCCAATCCTCGGCTTTAGCTGTGACCGAAATTAACCTGTAGGCTGAGCTGCCTAAATAGGCCGAGCTGCGACCACGGAAGCTACCGCTGGCCTCGCCCCTCTTGGTGACTTCTACCAAGAATCCCTCGTCGACTAAAAGGGCACCGAGTGCCTTCCAGTAGTCCTGAGAGTGATGTCTTCCGCAGCCGAAAAGCGCTCTCGACTTCATGTATTCTCTGACTTTCACGCTGGTGCTCCCTTTCAGATACAGAACGATCATGTTCATGCCGAAACCATTATTCAGGTCCTTGACAGCGTTGAGGAAGAGCCGCGAGTCCTCGGTGACGTCCACCCGACCGCTGTCTTCAATCGCTGGTAGATTCGTGAATGCTCTCTTGCTGAGCTCTGAGTCGCAATTGTCGCAGCACTTCGATCGCATCGGGATACGCTCGGCCTCGTCGGGACTGAAGTGGGTGATCATGAATTTCCTTCTGCATCCAGTGGTTTCTAGGTAAGCTCGAGTTCTCTTCAGCATCCGAGTTTTGTGTCGGACCACGTCCATGTCCCTGATTTTGCTCACGAACAGTAAGTAGGTGTCAAAATCGCTCGAGTCCCAGAATGTAGCGCAGAGTGAGGGCTCGCCATCTCGCCCGGCTCTACCTATTTCTTGGTAGTAAGCTTCGAGACTCTGCGGGGCGCCGTAGTGGACGACTTTCCTCACGTCGGGCTTGTCGATTCCCATGCCGAAAGCAATGGTTGCCACGATTATGGGGTTTGTCCCGTTCACGAAAGCGTCTTGGGTTTCTTTTCGGGCGCTGGGTGTCATTCCTGCATGGTAGGCATTTGCCGGGATACCTTTCGAGCGCAACAGCATGCTCACTTCTTCCGTCGTGACCCTCTTTGGGCAGTATATGATTGTCGAAACTCCCGGATCCAGGACGCTGAGGAGGTCTCGGTCGGGGCTGGTCTTCCGCTTCACCGTCAGGTACAGATTCGGCCTGTCGAAAGGCGTAACTGTGATCCACGGCTGGAGCAGTCTCAACGAGGACTCGATATCATTCTGAACATTGGCGCTGGCTGTCGCCGTGAGTGCCATGAACGGTATTTCCAGAAATCTCGTCCTCAGCTCGCCGAGCGACCGGTAGGTCTTTCGGAACTCGTGACCCCACTGCGAGACGCAGTGCGCCTCGTCGACCGCGACCAGACAAATGCCGACGGACTCGTTCAGATTCGTCAGGAAAAGCGAGTTCTCTGCGGCGAATTCCGGAGTGAGGTAAAGCACCCGGTAGGTCCGATTGAAGAGCTCTTCTCGTATCCTTGACGAATCCGTCTGAGCCGAGCCGAGGAATGCAGCGGGAACGCCGAATCCGTCCAGCTTCCGGACCTGGTCTTGCATCAGCGAGATCAGAGGGGAGATCACGATCGCGAGCTGGCCGAGATAGACCGGTGGGAACTGATAGCACAAGGATTTTCCGCTCCCTGTCGCCATGAGGACGATATTGTCCTTCCGGTCGGTCAACACGGATGAGATCACCTGCAAGTTTTCAGACATTAACATACGGTGCACACGCTCCGCGTCTGAGACCTGGAAACTTCTGCGTGATTGGAACCGTCTCGATGGATTTCAGTGGGAACAAGCCCGTCGACGACGTTATTCTTACTTTCCATTGGGACTCTTTGAAAGTTTCGTGACCGAAGAAATTTCTCAAGGTTTCCAGGTGCTTCGCGGATGGGGGGCTCACGTGAAGAATTTCATTTTCTTTACGAGCTTCGTCATCGAAGGCGTATTCCGATCCCGAAGCATGCGGAATTTCGTCGTACCCAAACGCGTGCGGGATTTCGCCGTACCCAAACACGTGCGGGATTTCGTCGTACTGAAAGGAAAAGATCTTCCTGATAATCATTCCAATGGACACCGTGATCAAACTTCGGTGGAGAGCAACGATTCGTAAGAAAGCTGTATCGGAGGGGCCGAATCGTGTGTGCTTGTAGAATCGATTTGTTAAGAAGTTGCCGCCTACTCAAGAATCCTGTCCAAGTCAACATGGACCTATCCATCCACTAGTATATAATACCGTATACTTCTAAGAATCACATCGTTGGGGAATTAACAATATCAGATGCACCGGTGTCCTCTGCTGACCTGATAGTACTCGTCGTATGAATAATTTTCTTCGTCGCAAAAGGACTCCGATGAATCCGATTCCGAAATTGGCTCGCTGTCCATGAGAGCAACAGTACCATCCACTCCATCGGGAGGGCTCTCGGTCTCGAAGAATTCCTCGGCAGTTAGGGAAGACACTCTTCGTTTCTTCGGTGAAGGTTCTTCAGTCTCGCCCTCTCCCTTTTCGGTTTCGTCTGCATCCTGTGAAGTAGCCATTCATTATGTATCTAAAATCTCTAATCCTTAACAACCTTCGACCCGATTTTAGAACTTTCCAAGGAACCTAAGGATAAGATGCGACGCATGACCAAGAACGTCACTACCTAATTAGATTATAATAGAGAAATGTACGCAAAACTCACATCGGAATCGAAGAGTGATCCGACATCGAGGAATTCGCTGAGCTGATGCGCATGTTGCAGAGAGTTTCGAGCCTCGTTCAGTTTCTCAAGTATCTTGTCGGGGATCTTCTTTCCTGAGCTCAGAGAGCGCTTCAAGGAGTTGACGAGGCTTTCGATCTCTTCGATGACTTCTTCTGCCGACATCTGGAATTATTCGTGATATCCACTGTGATAGCTTGCCAACAACTTTCTATCCCTATTACCGCGATGAGCAAATGCAGATGTGCATAGGGTTTTTGTGACTTCGTCGTCCCAATGTCAGAGAGAATCCACCCAGATCATTGTTCAGTACCGGCAGAAGAGAGCTTTTTCACCTTATTGCAGTCGGGCCGTGTATATCGGGAATTCCTTCGCGGCGGGCGATCCAAGACGTCGAGCTCGCGATGAGTTCAGTGTAACGGTCTTCCTACCATAAACGCATTCACTTTTCAAACGGTAAAATCAGCGCGCGCCAAGTGTCATATTCGAATCCGCTCCAGCGGAAAAATCAGACTTACAGGATCCAGCCTACGGTACCGCATTGACAGCCTCCGGCGACCGAACTACTCGCAGCGGTACGAAATCTCGCAATCGGGTTCATTCCGAAGTAGAGTTGCCTGTCGAAGTGCCGAATGACGGCGGAACATCCCGAGCTCACTCAGCCGATTCGAGCCGCCGTCTCGTCATCTGCTCCGTCAACACGTGCTGTTTGTGTTGACGGCTCAAGGCGGACGAAATCGAATGACGTCATGGCGAGAGGCACGCTCACACCGCTATGTGTCTAGAAGCGGGGGTTCTGCACTGACGGGGATCGCTCCGATCCATGCTAGGGGTATATGTCAGGGGGAACATATACCCGCATGGATATATATGGTGATAGGGGAACGATGTTTCAAAACGGCGTCCGGTGTATGGACCAGAGCAATTGGAGGCGGAAAATTGCGGCCATCATACAGGAGACGAAAATAATTGGAGCCGGGGAATTGGCTTTTGGGGAATTTCAGAACAGGCGACGCGATTACTCGTGAGTCGTGAGCAGAGGGGGACGTCGCGGACTAGATTCTGCGTTTCGAGCAGGCCGTATTTAGACGGGCGCAATTCTGTCCACGTTCGACTCATGCAGTCTAAGTTGGAACGAGTCTTCGGAAGGTTGCAAGAGCCGCCGTGAAAGAGACGACCCTAGAAATCGAGCTTCCTCTCCGAAGCGCAGGCGGGGAGCCATCTACCTCGAAAGGAGCGCGACTCCTCTCATCATCGATTCGGAGCCTTCTGAATGGTCGCCGCTGAATCCCGAAGACCCCCCCTCCTCCATCACACCCACTAAGCTGTTTGTATATCCCGCAGAAGCTCTTCTGATCCTCCCGGTTCCCCCCGAAGCGCAGGGAAGGGCGAGGAACCTCTCCTCGAACTATTTTTCGCGCGCTCGCTCGATCCTTGAAGTCCACGCCGGAGAGGATGAACGAGGAAGCTTTTGGTGAATAACTTCCGAGGTAGAGGAAATCCCTCCGAGATCCATAATTGAGCAAGCGTGAGAACAATCATGAACTTGGCCCTGATGACACTATTTCGAAGTTTTCTGCCGTGCACGAAACTGTGATTAGAAGAGAGGGGTGATGTGATGGTCGCCGGTCGGATGCTCGTGATATCAGCTTTGACGTTCCGGTAGTCCGAGAGAGCCCGTGATTCTGGGAGGACTCCACCTGACACGCTTTCCGCTCCTGGCAAACGCGGAGAGACGCAGAAGCTTATTCGTAGATGGCCTTCATTTTCGAATATCGAAGCAGAGACGAGACTGTGCCTCGTCGACTCAAGTTCGAAAGACCGGTTTCCATTTCCCGACTTCCAGCGGACTCTAATTTTAGAAACCTCGTCGCTGTGAATCTCTCCACGGGAAAGATGAGAAGAAAAACGAATTATCTTTCTTAATCTAAAACAATCCAGTCTCTTTCTCGCAACTCAGTGCTCGTCAATGGCAATGTATGAAGCTATGTATGTACATATGTCATCACATGGAATCTCTGGAGAGTCTCTGGGGACTCAGTCGTAGCCCTTGCCAATGGGCCAGTGATTTAAAGAAAGCTTACGGTAAACATTAAGAGCGCGCGTCCAAGAATGACCCGCTGCTATGTGAATGATAAAAGGAGTGGAATTGGTCGGAATCAGCTGGACAAGTTCTTCATGAGAATCGGATCCTGTTGCATGCGCTCTTCTTGGCCGGGTTTCTGCAGGCCTATCGTCACATGGTAGAGGTGGGTTCCCAGGAGACCTCCGAAGTGTGGAACTATCACAGCGACAACCCAGAACAGCCCGTGATGGAATCTGGGGGGAATAGATACTCCTCTTGAGGACAATACTCGGAAGCGCCGGCTTCCGCGTTCTGAGAAGAATACCATCATATTCGCTCTCGATCGGCTGCATTTCATCGAATCTCCCGGCCTTGGGAGGGGCCGACAGGCGGGATACTACAGAAGATAGGATAAGCCATGCGACGGTGGTCGTCGACACAAATATTAAGATCTCGCCAGATACGATTGCCTTGACCAGAAAGGCTTGAGGCAGTTGATATCTCGAGGCACGTGACCGGAGCGACGCAGATCTCTAAGCATGCGCGTCTGCAAGAACCTTCCTAGGCTTCCGACTCCCAATCCGAATTCATCGAAGACGGCGTTCGGAAGGATCTGGGCGAGATCACTTGGAAGCGGAAGATTCGACATGCGGAAGACTTCAACTTACTCGAAACCCTGTGTGCCGTAGCCCACTAACAGCGTGAAAAACCTCGGACCGAGATCTCTGGCGGGGTTCATCATCACAGAGCAGTTGTGGCTGAACGTTGAAACGATGCCGAAAACTGAGAACGCTACGAACGGAGCGAACAGGTGAAGAGGGACTCCGGTGTTGAACTTGTCCGTGATAGCGCAGATCGCGAACATCAGGAGAGCGCTGCACAGAACCTACACAGGAGCAAGAATAAATTGAGGTGGCGGTGAACCGGCGTCCTATCGAAAACTCTATCGATGAAGTGAGCCAGCCCGAGGGAATGGAATGCATGCGGTCCCGATTCATCGGTACGGTCTTCGGTGGGCCTGCTTACCGTGTCCATTATGCAAGTTGAAATGGAAATTCCTTCGGCTGGAACGGCAGCGAATCCACCCCCCGTGCCATTGACACCGACGAAGGCTCGGACACCTCCGTCATACTCGTTTATAGCTTCCAGGAAATTCAAATAAGTCACTGCCGCTGCTACGAAAGCACCTACGGAAGAGGGCTCTCCGCTTAAACGTTGGAATTTTCCACATGGAGCGATGCCGCTTTCGATATTGTTGATCGCTACTGAATCCTCACAGCGAGCTACAAGCATCCAATGAACGGGGACGGCTTGTGTTCAACGCGAACGAGATTCCACTCAATTTTGTGAATCAGATCAAAGTCTCAAGGCTTACCTAGATACTGCGCGATCACGAAGTATGGCACTTTTTTCCAGGGGAACGTTCCCCGAGCGGCGAACGATGTTGAAACAACGGGGTTAAGATGTGCAGCTGAGTTCGACATGGCCGAAACCATACCCAGGAAGACTCCAAACGCGCTGCATGCGTTCGACAAGAAAGGGTCATTCACTCCTGATAGGAGCAAGTTTAACGGAGCCGCCACATTGATGAGCTGCGGACGACGAATTCGCCAGGATAAGCTATGCATTCTTCAGCTGTCATAAGGTCATAATTATAACTTGATCCTAAGTCTCCTATTCGAGAAGATCTCCAGGACTCCATTCCGGAGGACAGCCGAATGAGCTATTCAGGTGTAGAGACAACCCCTCGATGCAGAAGGGAAACCTTTAGGCTCGACGATAGCATAGCGTCAAATTATTCACTCACGCATAGGAGAAACGTTCCTGTGAATTCCGAGAGAACTTCCCTCGCAAGTTCTGTCTTCACCTGGAGCTTCGACATCTTGCTGTCTCGAGTCTCCGACCGTTCAAGTCGATCTCGACGGCGGGATCTGCGGGTCTAGTCCGCAAGTCTTCTCAGGAAGGGTCCTGATGCGCCGGTCATTCGCCGAATAGGGGAGCGTGCGATTCTGGAGGGAGCACATAACATATTTTGAGAATGGGAAATATTTGGAAGGTAAAGAAACTCGCAGATGATTCGATATGTCCAAAGACGCGAATTAGTACTCGAAGATTATCGCAGCCTAATCCCTCTCGGATCGAGTCCGTGGAATTGCTCACGGGGGATGACAAGATGCGCCCGAAATTGTCGGCCGGGCGCCGGACCGTCACACTGTACTGTAATCCAGCGTTATCGAGATAAGGACGGAAGCCCTTGAGCTTCTCTATCGCCCTTCACATCGTGCGGACAGATTTAGCATCTCTCGTGTACTCCGCTTGAGCTGATTGGTCGCCCACCCTAGCTGAGAGCGACTTCTGTGGTCCATGCCGAATTTGGCTCAGCACATCAGCGAGAGAATAGAGGTGTCACTTATGAAGCATCGGCAACTAACTCGAGAAAGCGGACTTTCGGGGAGGAGGCAAGTGGCGTCGGCTGTATGGCTGGAAATTGACTCAATGACGCTGAATCATGACTTGATTTCGAGTATCCGATCGATGGGGGATTCATCGGGAAAGATTTATTCATACCCAAAGACTTGCCGACCGCAGAAACAATCATCCGTCTTGTGGACTGACAACCCGCTCGTCCCTGCTTCCTCTCATCAAGAATGACGTCCTCGAGTTCCTTCCTCGCCGAGCTTCTAGCAGCCAGCCTCCTGATTCCCCGATAAGAACGCTCCCGTTTGTGGGAGATCCGCTCCCACCCGTGTAGAGAGCGTGCTGGTTCCCGAATCGTCATATACTTAAGTATTCAGCTCTTGCTCAGCGCAATTCTCGATTTAGTTCCTAGGGCAGGCATATCATGGAGCTCTCCCGTAGTCGCCGTAGTCGTCGTAGATTGTCTCGAAGTGGTTTGATTGGAAGCCGTACGCAGCGTCCATGCATGATGCCGGAGCCAGCGCTCGAGATATTTCCCTTTTTCGCGAATCGCGTCTCCCCGGATGTATGCTCCCTCAATTTAGGCGCGCGTATGGGGATTCTCGCGCTCAGCGAGGCCCATGCGATTCTGTAGGTAGCTGCGGAAAACTTTTCGATACAGTCGGGATTACGACATACGGCAGATAGAATAGGTACATACGATGAAATCGATCCGAATTCTATAGGACTAAAGGCGATCAGAGACGACCGAGCGCGGCCAAAAGCCGCGATCACCGGACACGAACACAGAGAACGATATCCGAACTACAGAATTAACTCCGTGCCTTTCGAACCTTAATCGAAGTTCAGCGTAGCTTAGTACCAAATGAGTGAAGAGAAGGGTTTTTCGAGAATCACTAGGCGGAGGGGTAGCAGATGAAAAAACAAAACATCAACTCGGACACGGGGGGAACACTCCGCAACCGCCGAATCGCATGTGCGCCGGAACTTGTGAGGAGAAAGAGCCGAAAAACGGCTCAATAACGAAGCGCTCGCGCTTTTATTCTATAGAGGGGACAGACGATCAGAGTCGATCGAGCGCCCACCGGCCCTCCCAGCATTGTATCTCGACGCTTGACCGGCCTAGAGTACGCGGCAATCTCGCCACGCTCATGAAGACGTATCCATTCGAGCCCCGATTGCGTTCAATCGCCCTGTCATCGAATGTTGGCAACCAGTGGAAATTTGCCAAGGACGCGAAATACCTATCTGCTCATCTACGGTAGTGTTGAACTTTCGCCCTCAGCTGATTCATACTCCAGGTCCTCTTTCACAGCGTATCTAGATGGGATGTTCTCTCTGGGAGTCGCTGATAAGCTCGGTCTCTGCTGACTCCTAAACCAATATTTACCAGTTGTAAAAATCTGTGTTTGTAGATTACAATAATTCGACACCAGAACACCAGCATTATCGAGCTGGGCGGAATAACCCCTTGAGACCTCACAGCGCAACTGAAGAGACACAGTAGCGCTTGCGACCTTCGAAGGAACGAGATAACCGCTGTTTCGGTGAGATTTCTCAGGGTCGCGTCACGGTCCTAGTCCAGAGAGGATCGGTCCCCTCACTCACTCACGGTTGCAGTGTCACACATATCTAGACCGAAGTCCACACTCACTCCGAAGGATTGACTGTTCCGTAGCTTCTCGGCAGAGATCCATCGGAATCGGACGCCCTCCACATTTCATCAACGGAGAGCATGCAGCCTTCCACGTGAAACATTCGCTTAGCTATCCCGAAGCCGTCAGGGGAAACTCGATTCCTCACGCCGTTCCGGATGGCACGCTCGAGCCCCAAAAGAGCTGATCGAGAGCCGCTCCGCTGATCAACAAGGGGCCACAGGTTTGAATCTTACCTGCGAGAGCATTGACGTTGAACGAATTCCGCGTTCGAAATGATCTTCCGCACACTCAAACCCTACACACACAGAGCAAAATATTCCCTCCTCACTAAAGTGTCCTCACCCTCGAGCTGCCTTCTCCCTCAACCTTGACCCTAGTAGTGCTTGACATGCGAAGAACGGGAATGTTTTCAATAAGGACGTTGAGTCGAGAACCAGCGCCGCTTGGATGGACGACTTCTCTCCCAGACCGACCGTTCCTTCGTACTACCTGAGGCTCAAATTTGTCGTTCCCTAGTCGAGCTGACTTAGCCCGATATGTGGCGGCCATCCACCTGTTTCTTGAGAAAGCGCACTGTCGAGCCCACGGAGTTTTCCTTTGCCGAACTTGCTACAGTACCAACCGCTGTTTCCTATCTTGGTCGCTCAATCTGCTCCGGGAGACCTGCCGATAATAAGGCAAAGTAACGATTTGTCGATTGATCGTGTTCCGTAGAATCGGCGCAGCTGATGCCTGGGCTCGGGACAGAGTTGCGGAGGATCGATGTGAGCTGCTGGGAGCTCATGAGCTCCGAGGCTCCTTTGAGCATTAGAACTGAGAACAAAATCCGTGAAATGACTCGACCAGATTGACAGAGTTCGAAAAACAGTATCGATTCGCGACTCGCGACAGACGGCGAGTTGGCAGGGCTCGTCGATAGGTTCCATAAGGCTTTTGCGGTCGGAAACTGCAGGAGTTGGAGGGAGACACAGCATTTCCGGATTAGGTAGTCATCCAGGTGCTTTTCGCAAATGGGGCTTCCAAGTTGCACCGTGAACTGCGCCAGAGCGGGGAAAATATTTCCAGCTGTTCAAAGGGAGGAACGACTGAAGAGACGAAAATTCCATTCCGGCTCTTCCGAATCGGAGAACCACCTCGTTTTCGCCCCATCAAGCATCGCGTGATGCAGACGAAGAGAGAGTAGCGCTCTTACTCCCAATTATTCATCTGTGGATTCACGGTATTCTCTGATTCCACGGGATGCGAGAGGAGAGGCGGCAGAATTCCGCTTCGATGAATCTTCGGACGAATTTGTTTAGATGTATCCCAACGGGCCCGACGTCTGCTCACATCGAATCGATCCTGAGCTTTTCTCAGCTTGAGCCGGAAGACATTTCAGAAGAGTCAGCGATGACTGCTATTTATTCAAAGAGGCAGCTCACGCAGTGACGATCGACAGCGTCATAGGATGGCGAGGCGTCACCTTCAGACAATTAATACCTGAAACACCCAAGATCTCATCTGGATTCCGGAGCTTCCATCGGAGAACGAATATTGAGGCAGAAATAATTTCATGAGAGGCTTTCCATCTTTGTGGGCCGCTATCCCCGAGATTACGCTCGAGTGACCCGTGGGCGGTACGGACGCGAATGGAATTGGTTTCGAGGTGTGAGAGCACGAAATCGACGCCTCTCCGAGTCGTACCGTGGTGCGTGAAACTCATAATTCCAGATTTCGGAGGACTTCTCTATGTTTGCATATAATGCGTTTGCCGGTCCTTTAGGCTCATGTTAGACGCTAATTCACTGTCTCCAGATGGTCGCAGTCTCCGAATCATCGCGGCGCGGGTAGACGTACGGGGGCCTCATCACAGCGCTGTACGTTCCCGGTGAGCGGATCGATGACTATATCGACGAGTCAGGGGCTCTAGCATGCAATTCAGCCTTTGTGTTCGATTCGAAAACTTTTCTTTCTAATAAGCAGGTTCGACTGCAGTGGGGCAGAGCCCAATCGCGCCTCAGCACATAGAGAGAGGGCATCCAAGTCGACGGTTCTCTCAAAATGGCTTGCAAGCGAGAATGGGTCCAAATAATGAGTTTCCTTCAGTCTGGTTCGAGATTTTACGGTCCCTCGCGATGGAATGAAAAATCGGAACCTTCTCTCCGCACTGGTAAATTTCGTCTGAAATTCGGTTCAGATCACAATGTGGTCGATGATATTATACTTCTGGTGGATATTTTTGGATTTCTGGCTACTCTTCCCGACCGAGACTAGGTGCAACCAGTGAGAATCCACACGGGCGTCATCTCAGAGGTCTGATGCGCTCCTGAGTCTAATTTAGGCCGCTCCGGTGAATCATTCTCATTTGTTGCGAGCATAAGGGTAGATAGGGACAAGATATAGCATAGAAATATGACAATCAGAAATCTCCATCGCACACTATGCTCTACAACATTATCGTCACGTGCGACGAAACGAATTCGAGATCGGGTAATAGTGGACTGCAGAACGGAAGGGTTTTCGAGAACAAAGTTCGTTTGAGAGGCGTGCGCTTCTCCGCTTACAGCCACTCCGGACTCCTGACACTTTGCTTCAGAGACCACTAATCTGTGTTGATCGGCTCCGGGAGTTAGCGATAGGGAATTGCAGGCCATTGATGCAGCTGTACCATTGATGAGACGTCGGGAGCCTCAGTCGGCGGAAGTCCCCTCAGCAGCCGAATCAATTACGATCGATACATGATTCGAGGGCGTCCAATATCTAATCGACTGCTTGAGATAGGAGAAAGTTAGCGCAAGGTCGTCGACGTCTACGAAAGTGATAACTTCTTCACCCAGGACCTCAAACGGGATGGCCGGCTCCGACTGGCTTTCTGCCTCCGCATAACGATTGTGCGGAAACCACAGAGGGTAATAGCACATGGAGGATTGAGCCAGTTGAGGTGGTGACGTCGGTAGGTCGAGGAACACTCCTTACGCTCGCTCTGGCCGTTGCGGCGACAGGAAACAAAATCCCACCATCCTCAGTCTCCCCGCGAGTACTCATTTCCGGGACCACTTCCCCTAACAGCTCCTGTGGGAGCATTGGATGCGTTGATCCCTCGGGCTGGATGCGGGAGAAAAATTTCGCGCGATTCGCGAGACGCTCCGCAGAACATGCGTGAGCTAGCATCGCAAATCCGTGGAAGGAAGCCATATGAGCATCGATCTAATGAGGACGATTTGAGGACCTGACCAACTGCTCCCTCACTCAGTGATTTCGATAGCCAATGCTCAGGCAATATCCTATAATGCATTGTGTGAGTTGATCTCCGTGTCGACAGGGGGCTAGTATCCACAACGGAAAGCTTCTTCGTCGTGCTACTCACATAGCATACGTAGCGGCCGCTTCCCGTGGCAGCGGTTGATGGGAGCATGCTTCCGCCGGCAGAGCCGCCGCCTTCGATCGATGCATTATATTGTATAGATTTCCTAAGAACGATCGACTCCGTCGCGAAGATGACGCCCAGAAACCGAAAATATTCAGGCTGTACTCAACTTGATACAGCCAAATTGAATATTCTCTTTCCGGCAAGCTGAAAGCTCATCTCTTGCCATGGTCTGCCCGTTTTCACACAACATGCTTGGACAATTCATCGAGGGCTAACACTTCCGTGCGATGGATCAATCATGAGGGTGAAGGATGCGTATGCTCCGGTAAATGGCGGTCGTCGGACGACGGTACTTCATTGACTGTCGTTTCAGATGATCTCCTGCCTCCAGAAGGCTCCTTGGGGGCTTCGGAGGAGATCGATAGAGTGTTGGACGAGATTGGTCTCGGAGGATCGAGTCGGGTGGGTTCATGGTTATTTAAGCGCGGATTGATCTGAGCGCATGATCGATTTGAGCGCAAAATTGACCTGAGCGCAGAATCGATTTGAGCTCATGATTGATCTAGGCGCAATTGATCTGAGCGCGATTGATTTGAGCGGAATTGATTTGAGCGCAAGTGACTTGCGCGAAATTGATTTGCGCGGAATTGATTCGAGCGAAATGGATTTTAGCGGAATGGATTTGAGCGCATGGTTGATTTGAGCGCATAGTTGATTTGAGCGCATAGTCGATTTCAGCGCAAAGTTGATTTGAGCGCGTTATCGAATTGAGCGCAGACTCTCGAGGCGCTGCTTGGAGAGTGTGGCTCGGCTATAAACCTGAGTTCGTGGCGGTGGGGGCGAACCTGAGGTTAGGCCACTGCGTGGCCTAACCTCAAGTTCTTCCCCACCGCCCCGAACTAAGGTTTAGTCCGCCTCACAATGTCAGAGCTCTGCATTGGGGAACCTAACCTAACCTGACTCACTATGTGGCCATTCTTAAAAAGACATTCGTTGCGAATATTCGATAAACCTGGAGCCGACTCCTCATATGAATCGGAGGAGCATTCCCAAAAGCGCGCAGTCGGAGTCTGAATTAACATTTTTATTCAAGCAAATGAGTGTCGATGCGCTTATTAATGAGCTGTCACTTCCACGAGCAGCCATTGACAGAATGTACAGTCAATGACACAAGGATGTCAAATAGGAATTATCTCTCATGCTCTGAAATCAACTATGCGCTCAAATCGACTATGCGCTCAAATCAACTATGCGCTCAAATCAACTATGCGCTCAAATCAAGTATGCGCTCAATTCCATTTCGCTCAGATCCATTTCGCTCAAATCCATTTCGCTCGAATCAATTTCGCGCAAATCATTTGCGCTCAAATCAATTTCGCTCAAATCAATCGCGCTCAGATCAATTGCGCCTAGATCAATCATGAGCTCAGATCAATTCTGCGCTCAGATTGATTTTGCGCTCAAATCGATCATGCGCTCAGATCAATCCGCGCTCAAATCACCCGGTACCGATCTCCTGCCTCCAGAAGGCTCCTTGGGGGCTTCGGAGGAGATCGATAGAGTGTTGGACGAGATTGGTCTCGGAGGATCGAGTCGGGTGAGACCTGCAGCTTAGGCGCAGCATGGAAGATAACCATTTCTTGCGGTCACTCGGCCTCTGGCTCATGAAGTGAATCGCTTTGTCCCGTCTCCTGGGGAAAGGTCCGAGGGAATCAAGCCGACCCGTAAGCTGGACCTTGTAGATCGGGAAGGGCGAGAGAACCCGCGCTTGTCAAGGGCTCAGGGGCGCTCCTGCCGAGGTGATGTGGCCGCCCTCGCTCGTGGAGCTTGAATATTGGGCGGAATGGTTCGTCTCGCAGAGAAATCAGCTATAGGAGGGCCTTCCTGAGCGGTTAACGCAAGGCGTCGAAAGCTATTGATTGAAACCCCTCAATCCGTGAGCTCCATAAGAAGCGATCGATAGATTCCCCGGATGCCTACAGCGTTCCTCCCGGAGTTTTCTAGCGATGGAACAAGTTGTTCGTCGTCTGAGCCCACGAAAATCAATCAGGAGCTCCAGAGAAATTCATTCTGAGGAGACAGACTGCTTTACTCATCCAAAGATACTTGGCTACGCGACTCTGGATGCTTAGCGATATCAGAGACTTGGAACGGTAGAGAAAACTTCGAGCCAATGAGCGGGATCGTGACTTGTGGTCAGAAATTGCTCGTGATCGGAAGCCATATTTTTTCATGAGCTGGAAGTGCTCCTTGTGAGACCCGCGCCACAAGAATATTGCGGATCTGCTCGACGACACCGAGCACCATGTTTCTGATCTGGATTGTAGGGAATGGACACCATGATGTAGGGCCCACAAAGGTTGACCTATAATCTCAATGGTACTTCCGCAGATTCTCCCGCAGGGTGCTCGCCGAACGGAAATGACCTAACGGACCCGGACGTGGGGAATTCTCGGAAATTCATCAAGGCATCGTGCTTCGTCAGAAACTCTTCCTGAGGGACTCACGTACATCAGGGGCCTGCCATTACGCATGGAGTACATTACCATTATTCATATAACGGCATTAATGAGGGAAGGTTCGGTGATCGTTTCGGCCTCTGGGTGCTCGAGCTGCCTCGAGGGTAGAAATCTTGGAGACGCCGCGCCGTGAAAGTACACCTTGACGCGACGATCAGAAAAGGCGTGCGCCCGAAGTGATCCTACTTTCGAAAGAGCTCAGAGCGAGTACGATTGACTATGTAGATCTCCAATAATGTGAAACAACAATCGGAAGATTCCTGCGGAGGAATCAGACTCTACATCAAAGCCGAGAAGATCCGCAGGGTCAGGGCCCAGCTTCAAGAGACTTCTGAGCTTTGGAGCGGAACCCGAAGTCGGACAGTCGAAGTGCGACCAGTACGATCCCCGCTAGACGGCTTCTTCACAGTTCGGTCTCCGAGACGGAAGATGAGAAGGAATCGAGGGCAAGGGGACAAGATTGTATCGCCGGAGACCCGGACCCGGTCGAGAGAGACAGTCCGAGACGCTTTTTCCGGAGGTACAAACTTTTCTGCCATGAACGTGAGCGCGTGCCTTTCTTTTCGCGATGAAGGCGGAGCGCTGACCGAATGGATGCGAGATAAAACTGATCGATATGGCCCGACTCCCAGTCGGGGAGTTTTACGTTCCCTGCGAAGCTCGCGAGATCTTGAGCATCTCGGAGATTGCGTCGGTTCGCGCAGCTAATCCATCGATAAGGCGAACCATCTGCGGAGCACCTCCATCCGACTATGAGCGTATTCCGCACCACCGGGTACCACAACTTGCCTCCTGGGGCTTGGAAAGGCCATACTACAGAGGCTCGAGACTCGAAACTTGCTCGCCCCTTTCCGGACTTTCTTCCGCCTTCCTATGTTTGCTCGAATGCGCCGCTCCGAGGCTGATCGGACCTTCGCAGCTTTTCCTTTAGAGAGAGCTCCGCGCCAATTCCTTTCGCGTCATGACTGATGACGTTTCTCTCCCGACAGGGAGATGTCTCCGAAGTTCGGCATCACTCGATCTTGAACGGATATTTTATTCAGCTAATTCTATCCGCCTGGAGCCGTACCAGGCGGAGTCACCTGATGAATTATTCTCCCACGAAGCATGAGCACAAAGGAGCTCTCAACATTCTCCGGCTCCTTATCCCCCTAATGAACTTTATGATCTATTTGCCATTGTCTAACCTCGACGACTAAGCGGCTTGTATGTATGTCGACGCGAGCAAGATCATTACGGACAGTCTGGTTCCCGAGGAAGAAAATAGCGGTGGATACCCGCTAGAGTTCCTGTGAATTTTCGGAGCTGGACTCAGACGGGAATCATCGTGGTCTGGATCAGCTCGGCTCATATTCCAGACGACTCCTCTGAATGAGTACGAATGGCCCAAATGCCAAGTAGAGCTCATCATTCGACGCGGCTCTCGAGGACCCGAGCCGATCGTGACGTCATCACTGAGGAATGTTGGAGGCGTGCTGTGCACTGAAGTTGAAGACAGCCTCGGACCCTCACAGGATTCCCAAGATTTCTCACAAGGATCTCGCGGCGGGAAAGCGGCTCTTTTGGGCGTTCATACACATGCTCAGAAGCTATCGAGGGAAAGTCTTGGCAACAATTCCGAATGGCTCCCAGTCTCTAGTTTGAGGAGCGCGGAGTTAGCCTCCGGGCTTTTTCCACGAAGATTTCGCTGGCTTCGTATCGCTAGTCTGTATGCAAGATATCCATTGTGGCGGGGTCCAGGCGTTGCGTCCGTGGAAGGTTCTTTGTTATTCCATTGAATTCCCTCCTAATATCACCTCACCATCATACAATAAAGGGCCTCCGAGATAGCCTTGGCGTACCCGACGGCTTTAATATGAGAGAGTTGGGAGCAACCCTTTCCACCACTAAGTGCTTCGGCTCTGTCGACTCCTATTCCCTTCCAATAGAACCCTTGCATTAGCTTTTCCACCCGGAAGGAGAACAGGTGAATCCTAGAGGCCATTTTGCTTGCTCGCCCCTTGCGCATTTCATTTGGTATCTTCACTCTAAGCGTTTGCAGCTATCGTGATCCCCCTGATATCGTTTGTTGTTCGACCCCTCAAGTTTTCCCACCGCATGCTCTGACAGGGATTTCGCCACCGGCTCCTGAGGTCGCATGTAGATTGGGAGCTCATCCTCACGGACTGCGATATTCTGAGGCCGTTCTCGTATGCTGCCTGTTCCCGAGACTTTGGATTTGAGCCTTTTCTGACGTTCGACTCTTCAGAAAACAACGAGCGCTCACTTGAGCCGTGGTTTGGGAATAGAACCCTCCTCTTTCTTCTCTCACGGATTGTTTGCCCGCGATGAACAATCTTCCTCGCTCCGTTGAAGCCGCTGATCTTTTGCGGATGAGCATTCTTTCACCTTTTGGGCCAGAGGTTTTGGCAGCGATGTCAGACGCTTGAACCTCGGACGATATGATTTGAGAAGCGCCAGCATTTGGCATGGCGATCCATCCGATTATATGGGCGTTTAACTCTGGCTCAATTACTAGGGTGAAGCGGGCGGAAGCGATCAGAACGACTCCCCGTGGCCTTACAAAAGCATTTCGAGCCGTTCATAGATTACTTCCATAGAGGTGAATAATTCAGAATTATTCTCCGCAGCTCTGTTCCCTCTCGGGGAATCGCCTCGGAGTACCTAGTAGCGCCACTTCGTCTGAGATTATAGCTTTCCCGATCGCGTGGATTCCGGATCTTTCCAGAATCACTTCGCTCACCAATATTACATCACGGCCATGCGAACTCATACACTGCGATCATTACGTCAAGTCAAGGCAGACTCGCTCGAGGTAGTCGCTACTCGCTACTCCCTTCAAATAGAGCAAGCAGCGGTGAGAATGTCCAGAATATTTCAGATTTTTTGCGCCTGTTCATAAAGTCCAGGGGGAAGAGAACTTTCTTGTTCGATTGGAGCGAAGTGCACTGCTGAACAGATCAGAAAGATCTACTTAAAAAATCGCTTTTCCCGCTGAACAAACTTCGCGGTAATGCTGCACGTTACGCAATGTCACGATCATAGTGAGAGGTCAGGAAAGAACATTTAAACTTTTCGACGCTCCTGGTCAGATATGTATTCTGGTGAAAGTTTTTCTGAACTGGCCGACTCCCGAACGGTCCGATAAGCCTCCTTGAAGACTGGCTGAAAAAGGAAAGTTTTCCGCTGCATGACAGTGAGTTGTTAAATCTTTATTCTTCCGACACCGGCGCACGACAATCCATCCCCGAGAGGCTGGAAGTGAGACACAGCCTGAAAACATGAGTATAGATGGATGGCTCCGCTCTACTCGATTGGTTCAAATGATCATCTCGGGAATGGAGCCGATACGGCTTCGCGCAAGGACCGTGGCAGTTCTGCCCGGTTGCCCCCAGTTCAGATCTGTTGATGTTGCGGGCTCCGCGAGAAGATACCAGTCACCATGCACGATGAATATTCGGGAGAGACATCTACTCTCTTCTTCTTTGAGGCCGATCGAGGAAGAGTCTCGGAGTACCTTGTGTCATCACTCCTTCAATATCGAGCTCGATAGCACAATCCGCATGAATCGCGCACCTTCAGAAAACGAATGAATTGTTAACGATGCTTGCGGAGCCGTGAACGATGGGATGAATGACTAACTAACAAGCCATTCCACTGACTGAGAGACGGTCAAATAGATAGAACACCTCACTGAGTGACTGACTGACTAACTGACCGACCGAAGCATCGATCTCTCTCTTGGCTTTAGCTCTACGAGCAGTGAGCATCTAGCTGTCACCTAGCAAGCAAACACGCAAGCGAGCCAAACAGCCAGCCAGGAACAGGCCGACTTCTCCTCTCCAGTGGAGCAAACCGTCCCAAGCGGAGACGCGCTCCGTTAAAACGGATATCATGTGGGCTCCAGATCTGAACACAGACTTGGAAGAAGGCGACGACAGGATGGCTGTGGTGCACAACACCTCTGTCACGCTTCTGCAGTGCGTGCTCATCACAGTGGCAGGGTGAGTGCAAATTGGAGGACCGTGTTATTCGAGCGCTTTTGTGGATCGATTAAGTGCCTGTTCTCGAATCTTACCTTGATGACACGTTCTGCAAAATCATAGAGAAGTCTCTCCGGAGTGACGGTGGAGGAGTCCGGCTCGAGTCACGCGGGGCGGTGCTCCGGATTCGCGGATATATCTTTGCTCGATTCTTCTTGCTCACCCGTCGATCTTGAATCCAGAGTTTTCTGCGCAGCTTCGATCAGCAGTTGCTACTGCGTGCACCACTGACAGGAAATGAGATCATTGCGAAGAGGTTACGGTAACATTGCGTTCTTGCGAAGTTCAGCGTACCGAGGACGCTCCGATGAAAACATAGATCAAAGCGACTCGAAACTTCAGATCGAGAGTCGTCGTAATTTCGATGACTGAGCAGAAAGACGAAGAAAAACAGGATGCCTCCGATTTGAGGAATTTCGTCTTTAGCGGTTCGATCCCCGAGATCAGTCTGGGAGTTTCCGCCAGTTTCATGGTCGAAGTCAAATCTGTCAGCTGCCCGATCAGCTATTCATGTCGAGCATGTCGTCCCTCCGGTTCCGGAAAGCCTCTTCCCTCGACCCGTCACGCCGGCGAGATTCGACGAAGCTTCCGGTCGGTGCGGATCATTCGGGAAGTGAGCGCGGAGGTGGGGCGCATCTGCAAGCACCATCTTGTTGAAATCACGGCCCCAGACGGATCGGTGTGGAGCTACATCGTCTCAGATTCTCTTTCTGATGCTACTTTTCGCGATCGAACAAGGTATCTGGCACGGACAACAGAATGAGGCGACGATTGCTGTTTTCAAGAGCTTTACGGGGCAACGTCACGTTGAATTCGCTCCAACTTCTTGTACTCAATAATCACAGAACTTCTCTAGTGTCTCCGATTCCAGGGCTTCCAGTTTTCTACCCGTTCCGAGTTCTCCCGTTGAGAAAATGCTAAGCGATTCGCTCCCCCAACCGCCCACCAGAGAAAACAATTTGTCATTTCCAAGGCCCGAACTCCACGGAGCTTGTTCGGTTCATATCCGTCAATACCCTGTCCTGGCCGTTGCCGATCGTTCTCGACTCACTCATAGTGAGTTTCGGCGAAACCGACCGAGGAGAATATTCTCGGTATCTTTCGTACCTGGGAGGCTCTCGGAAAATTGGATGTCATCCTTTCTCTGCCTGAATTGTTCGAGTCCGAGAGATAGGGGAATAGACCCGTGCAGCGACACTCTTCCAGGAAGGAGAGCGTCTTTGGAGGATTTGCCACAACTAGGGGAAGGCGTGCGCAAATCCGAGGAATCATTCTTCGAATAAAATACATACTCAAGCGTTTGGAACTGATTCCGCCTGCTCTCCGAGAACTCCCTCACGCGGAACGGGGATTTTTCCATCGGTCTGATCTTGAGAGCCTCTATAGATGTTCCCGAAAACCGAGATCGACCACAGATAATCGCGGGCTCGCCATCGGTGGAATGTCGAAACTTTTAGTACCGTTTCACGCCGGAGAGACGGGTCCGTTATGCGATTCTGGCTCGGATCCGGATTTATCTGAGTGCACCGGTGAACCGGAGCGATGACGAGGCTGTACTCGGCAGAACTCTCATTGCCCTCGGGAGGAAAACGAGCCTGTGTGCGCACCTGATCGCGATGCGGGTTGTTTACGCACGGAAAGTCACCAAATGGTTGCCGCAGAATCATTATTATACGCTTCAGCCTTCGGCTTCGCATTTTACGGTATAGCTCAATCAAAGGGCATCGTTTCTCCCACATCGGTGGACGGCGCTCTCGAACGCGTCGATTCTTCGTTTTCAAGGACGCGCTCTTATTTTATCACGATTTCGTCCGGGTCAAGTAAAGGTATAGCTTTTGTTTTTCCATGAGACGGATTCGGTTCGATGCCACTCCTTCCGGTCGGGAACTGATGTAGTCTAGCAGGTACTCGCAAACTCAACTCACTCATGCAGAAAGACAAACGATGATGATGTTGGTCTTTCCGATATCCGAGGGGAAATAGTATAATCGAGATCGCACAACAAAAGTGAGGGCTCGGAACAGCCGGGGGGGGGGGGGTGAAATGACATGACCGTGCGATCTATGTGCGTAAATCAAGCACTTTTCCTCTCTTACAGGTATGTCAGCAGTCGCTTCGGGCTATTCACCGAGGATCATATCCGAGGGATCGAGCTTTTCACATCTAACCTCGCTTTGCCGGCATTGATGTTCGAGAAAATCTCCTCACTGAGTCTTCGAAACGCTCACGGAGATCTGATACTGGGTGAGTTCATCCGCTCAGTGATTCCAATATGTCATTCACTTGACGCCAACAATTGCTAATATTCGCCGAGTCTCGCCTTCGTCCGACCTTGTCTCTATCGTGTTCGATTGGTCAATGAAATCGAAAGCAGTCTAGGAGTGTATTCAATCTCATGGATCCCGTGACGGAATACTCTCGTTCAACTCAACAATTCCATTCACTCCCGACCGGTCTGCAAGGGCGACGATTCGAGCTTGGGAGTTTCACGCATGGGAAGATCATCAGAAATTCAGGGATCGTCGTGGCTTACTGGAGAAATTTCCCTCAGGAATCTTCTTGGCGAAACTGGTCGTCCTCTGCTCAGTGGTCCTGATTGGCTATTGTTTCTCACATAAATCATGGAATATCATCGGTCTCTACGGTATTTTTGCCACAATGTGCAACGATTTCGGGATCGCTCTACCAGTCCGTGAGTTTTAAAAACGAATCGAAGTCTTCTCGTTCGAGCTGCGTGGCGCGTGTGTCGGAATGTTGGGGGACGCGATCTTTCTTTGTTCGGATTGCATAGGTACATCTTACGAAAAATCATTTTCTCCCAACATCTCACGGCAGGGAGCGTTCCACGGGTTTGTCAAGCGGAACTTCATTTGTCGAAAATCATAGGTACCCGGATTGTATCAACTGAGCTGATGATCCCCTCGTTCTATTTTTTCCAAGTGCAAGCCCTCTATGGTGCGAAGCTGGCCGACGAATTATATTTGATCGCGCCGCTATCGCTATGCCTGCTGAATCCGGTGTGTCTCTACATGATGGAAACTCATGCACAGACAACAAGCGAAGAAAACTTGCTCTTGGAACCCAGCACATCAGGCAAAGGAAGAGCGAAGTCGGGAAGTCGATGCACACTGCTGCTAGGTGTAGTTCTACGGACGCTCTTCCATCCCCACGTCATTATTTGCCTCCTCGGAATCGCATTCAACATGAGCGGCTGGACGAACAGCATTCCCGAGTTTGTTCGAAGCAGTTTGGATGTGAGTGAGCGGATGCACAATGCGCCTGACAATCCCAGCATGGAATACTTATAAATAGAAGCTTCATGAATATAAGGCGCATGTGTTCATCGACGATTACCGCTATATTACTTGAGTCATTTGAATTTTCTCCAGGTTATCGGAAACTCATTCGCGGCACTGATATTGTTCCTGCTCGGATTCCGACTGAATCCTAAGTGTGTTAAGCCAACCTACAAGCTGTCCGTGATCGCTCTCAGCGTTGTTAAAACGTGAGACACCCATAATGATCCTCACGGTCAGATTTACGGTGTTGATAGTTCAGGCATTCGGTTCTTCAATTGGAATGCTCGTTTGCAGCCTGGCTTTACCGATACTTTGTCTGATCGGCGTCCGGTTGGTATCCGATTCGGTGTCGCTTTCAAATTTCGCCTTCATCTACGGTGCCGTACCGACACCGCCGCTCGTTACGGTATACGCGAGTCAATACGACGTCAACCCCCAACAGATCTCGACGGCGGTATGCATTTCGTCGATCATGTCTCTGCCGCTGTTGTTTGTCGCCTCGAAAAGCACCGCTCTCAATATGGTTCAGGTACTATCGAGTTTCCTTATGCATCGAATATTCGAGAATATCATTCGACAACCATTCTCCGTTGCCGACATTTGCTTTACGTATTCCACAGGAATATTTAAATTGTCCTCTGAGACATGTGACGCGAATTCCTCGTCTTCTATTTCAGCCGGATCTGTCTGATTACCAGGAGTTGGGGAGGGATTTGACGCCTGGAGTGATAGCTCTGGCGGTCGTGAATTTTCTCTGCTGCGTTCTGGTGATCATTTACTTGACTTTGATTTCGTCCCGATTCGAACGGCTTCCTTTCCATTTCGTCCTGTGTATCTGCATCTCGCAAATTTTCCAATCGTTGGGGATGATCTTCTGGCATTTCCCTCAAGTGGTACTCAACGTTTACGCCGTCTGTTTCATCACGGCGTCCCAAATGAGCTGTCGACTTTTCCTCGCTTTCTTCGCTATTAGCCTATCTTCGCTGAACGAAGGCGACCGCTTCGAAAAGTATAAGCGAAGGCTCACATTATTCGGATTTGTGTGAGTATCGATCGAAGGAAACGCAGCGACCTCCGCATTCTAGCGCTGATTTTGAAGTCCATCGCTTCATCTCAACGGCGAGTTTATTCATGGGCATCAAGCTGAGTTACCGAAACTTCGATTCACAGCGCTTCCGCGGTCACCACCTTGTTGATGTATTGGACTAGCGGTCGCGATGTGATGACGAGCTCGAATCTTCCACTCTTCCTCAATGGCCAGATCGAAGTGAGTTCCGCATGTTTTCGAACAATAAAATGGAGGAGCCCCGAAGTTCGTCTTACCGCGGATTGCGAGCCCTTGCGTGACTAAGAGTTCTTCCCGGAAACCATTGCAGGCTATAATTTTCACTATAGTGCTCTCCTTCTCGCTGTGCGCCTCATTTGGAGCGCTCCTGGACGCGCTCTTCCGAGAGACGGGGCTGTCAAGCCCGCTCAGAGGCAACACCGAGTCGAGCAAGCCGTAAGCAGACTCACGATTTCCTTCTTCGCACTGTGAAGATCTGAGTGAGAGCCTTTTGGATCCAAGAAAGAGTGTCCCTGACTACGATCCCCCTCGTTCCGCAGATCCCGTCATCTTCAGAAGCACCTGCTGTGTCTCATTGGACTCTCGGGCTCGGCGCTCGTGGTGAGTTCCTGCAACTGGAGTCACTGGACTAGCTGATCTGCATCTCTCTCCGAATCAAACCTCATGTCATTTCCCTGCAGGGTCTCATCCACACCTATTGGAGGATCTCAGATTCTTCGGACCGGCCGCTCCTCATTGCGATAGAATATCTCGACTGCTACATGGCTTTCAGTCAAGCACTCATAATTTTGCTCGCCTACGGCATCCATTCCAAATATTACAACAGAGCCGAGCGCCTCTTGTACGCGTGAGTAAATTGACCGTCTAGCATGTCGGGAATGCCTGGGTTTATCAGCCGTAGACGAAGATTTTCCGAGTTGATGACGCAAATTCGGGAGTTCCCCCACAGAACGAAATGTTCCTTGGTTTGTTTTCTGCTCATTTACGGCATGGATCTCGTTAATTTTTTTGTTGCCTATTTTCGTCGCAGCTATTTCTCCCATCAAGTTAGCCGGATACTATCCGCTTGGAAGAACTCCTCACTTTTCATGATCTCATCGAGCTTTTCCCCTGCTCATAATATCATCGGTGAGTTGATTATTTCACCAGAATGATAAGTCGCGCCGAGCGCGATGCCGAAGAGGTCACGCGGAATCTGCTCGCCAACCAGACTCCTTAACTCAGTTTAGTTTGGATTATGTGCTCGATGAATCGATCCCTGTCAAGGTCCTGTGAGTAACGGATAAATGTTATTGCAGGCTGCGTCACGGTTAAATCGACGGCCTGCGTTGCACCGCTTAGCCCCGCTTGAAGTGGAATGCTCCTATATCGTCGAGAAGATCTTGTTACATTTATGTAAATACTCATTGAGCTTCTTGTCAGGATGTGTATTTCACCGTTGCCATGAAAATAAAGCTGAACGTAATTTATTGGAGTACGGCGAGGAAATTTCGTCCGCCGGAAGACAGAATCGAACTAAAATGCTTCGACCCTGACTGAGGGAGATTCCCGCTTCCGGCCCCAAACTCCCGAGGATCCTTCGATAATTGGGTGATTCCGCCATCAACACAGTATCAGACATCAGATCTCTCTTCGAGCGGAATTTTTCAACGAATGTGACAGCTTTCTCCCACTAGTCTCGTCAGAAAAACATCGGTCAGCTGTCTCGACGCATTGAAAATAGATCGAGGAACGCTGGTGAACATCATAAACAGTCAAACTCTTTTATTTAATTTGAGTAGAAAAACTCGACGTGTTGAAACTGTCACTAGTCTCCTGGAGGATTTCAACGAATTTTCACCGGAGTACCAATCAATGCACCAATCGTATCTTCCGAGAGGCGGCGCTTCAGGAGGAAATACCAATATTGCACTCAGGCGGACGACATGGATGGACGCCTGACAACGCGTTTGCCAAAACACACAAAGCCGTTGTCCCAAGCCGAGTAGCTGAGCTGCCTTTTAATGACGATAAGTGTCAGTGGGGATCACCATATAGACAGAGAGAGATATCTCTGACGAATACTGGTCTCATACAGAATGAAGAAATTGTGCCTAAATCCTAAGTAGTTCCATTCATTGACTAAGAATTGATAAAATCCTATTATGTGAGAGGTGGAAAATGATGATCTCTGATCGGCTGGAGAGTGTTTCCGTGTCGATGCGTATCTCTGACGACCACTGCCAGGAATGTTACCCCCGTTCGGAGCTCCTCACGAGGGACGGATATCCGGATCGTCCGAGGTCCATGCTCTTGAGCATTGCTGAAACTCGACGCTTTGACGCGCCAAGTGAGAGTGTGGAGCTGAACCTGATTGATCGGCTTCCAAGGGAGAATTCTATTGCGATTTCATTGATGTCAGCTTCCTCTGGCGTGTTCTGCGGAAAGAATGGGATTGAGTTTTCTGCTCCGACCCACGAATAAATGGGGAAGAAGTTCGGAACGAAGATGGTTTCCCGCCGGTTGGGAGACTTTTCATCGCACATATTGCAACGACTTCTGCCCCTCGTTTCTTTTCGACTTTTTTTTTCCTCGACCCATTCAAGTACCTCGATTCTGATCGATAACAGGTATATTCGAACCACATAACGTTAGGGATCAACGTCGTATCCCGAAGCATCAGCAGCTCACAGATAGGCCTGGAAAATGTATCATCAAGTTATTGTTAGTGATATTCTCAGAATTGGAACCTCCCCGGAGCAGGTCCCAGGATTCCTCTCAATTAGTATCCTGCGCGCGATCAAATGAGAGATGAACTAACCAAGAGCAGATTATAGGGAACAAAGGCGTGAAGACTAGTTGCACCATGGCGAACCAGCCACACGCGAACACGGAGCCCAATAAACCTCCGACGATCACTTGCCAACTCGTGTGATACTCGAGATAAACCCGAGAAACACACACGACCGCGGCGCACAAGTAGCCGTTAATGATGAGAAAGTAGCGCCACACGCCCTCGAATATCGAGTTGTTGTTCGAACCGTGATGAAGCCTGTCAAGTAGAATTCATAAGGTGAAACCCGAACTATATTCGCAGATGTCTGGGATGCTGATGGTGATTATCGATTCACATCTGAGTGAGGCTCGAAGTATGTATGCACTGCAGTATCGAAAGTGGAGCGCGATTCCATGTCCTCATCAATTTTATCGAGCGCTCTCGATCTACCTGAACGTGATGAAAAACATGAGGTAGGTTGCCACAAACCACATGAATTGCGAGTGGCTTGAGGGCATCCCGAACTCTACCGTCATCTCTTCGCTACGTTTCAGGGGTCGCGGCTCGCGTATAATGTGCTTCAGCGTGTAGTTCGCAGCTTCATTTAGTATAAGGCCTATGCTGAAGAATATCTGTGGGAAGAGACGGAACGCTCATTAGTTCCTGGATACCGCGAAACTCCATCGATCAGACATCAGTGACATAGTTCGACCTTCATTCGCCTCACCGTATGCATATCCCTCCGGAAAGCTATCAATGTGAACAAACATACTGCGATAGCCAATGGCGTGAGAGAAATAAACGCAAGGAGTTTACCAAGGAGATCGCCTGAAAAGATATGATAATCAATTTGAGAAATCTCTCGATTCCACCGCATGCTTTTCAGGATTACGGAGATGCTATTTCTCCTCGCTCAAAGTCTACCGCAGGCTCCATTTCGTTAATGTCAATAGTTCTTATAAACGATTGACTGCTTGGGCAGCCGGCAAATGTGACCTTTTCGGAAGAGTTTCCTCATGAATGGAACAAAGAAGAGATGACATTAGAAAATGTATGGGTCGATCATTCACTGACGATTTCCCACAGCTCCAGGAGAATTCGTAGGAGGTTGGAGAAGCTGCGAGGCTGTAGAACTCCATCATTTCCCCCGCAGAATTCCTCCCAGATTCAACGTTAGAGGGTCGAGACAAGCTATGCAAGCCCATTTTTGATTTTCGCTCCTCAGATGCGGAACTTAGGAAAGGACTGTCAAGCCCGATCTACGGACACCCAGCGCCTGTTGGATATTCCGTGAGCCGTTATATCCGGCTGATTCCCATACAGAAGCCTCAATTAGCACCCTGATTAACGAGGGGGGCGACGCGTCGTGCCGCCGGCTGAATACGTCGGCGTCGTACAGAGAAACCGCACCCCGCGATTTTCCCCGGATTTCTTCGGGAAGGAAAGCTATGCGCAACTTACCAGAGGGATACTGGACGTGAGTGAGACTAAAGGAACTCCACTTGAGTTCTTGTGCGGGCTCCATGGTCGTGAGCTCAATAGCGGCAGTTCGCAGCGGATAGAAACCGTGCTCGCTCACCGCACGATTGCTTCAGGGATTCGAACGTCAAAGACAAACACTGATCTCCAGCTTATCGGGTGGATGTGGAAGCGAATTCTGGTGTTCCTCTCTCCAGTAGAATGCCAACTCGACCGACAGAAAGGAGCGCGGCTCCAGTCGACACTGCACACAGTGCTTCCAAATCACTCCCTCAGCTGCTCGCGGACGATTTATCGCTTTCGACTAACCGACTGAAGCGTGTGTTTGACGCGAGCGGTTCCGAGGCTTCAGACAGTACTCTCCGGTGAGGTTACGTGTACGATGGAAATGCCGCACGATTATTTGTTAGACAGGCCTATGGAAACCCCGGACGAGTCGTCCGGGAGGTGAAATTGCACAGAAGCAGATTCTGTTGATGGGAAAGTGGAGACAATGCCACTGATGATCTCTGCTGAAAATCCAAACGCGGCCGGGCCTTATTGTGAGTTCTGTGCGACGCTCTTTTGTTCGCTACCGTAGACTCGGGAGCCAAGGGGCTCGGAAGGCTGAGCAGCGAGACTCAAGCTGGATCCCGCGGGACTCGCTCGCGTCTTTCCGCCTGCCCCCTCCGTCCGTCTCAGAAAGGAGACTGCTCAGGGTGGCAGCGGAAAATCGAGTCGTATTGTCTCGATTCTTGAGAAACAAATCCACCGGGGTTGACCACAAAGGTTTCCAGCGTGGATCTCGACATTGGAAAGACCCCACGGCACTCGTAGCCCAAACAACGCCGCGACTCTGAAAGCCGGAATAGGTCGGGAGCTCTGCGGGGACTGCTGTAGGGGTTCGTGTTGACCGTGCAAGTATCAACCGAGATGGGAGATGAGACTCTCGATGCGAGCTTGACCGAGACTCCGAACTAGCTTCCTGCTACTGGAGACTTCATGAGATGCCGCAACTGAGAGATGACTGGACTCCTCAGGGACCGACAAGGAGAAAGTCAGTGTCAGAAATCTCGCCCATTCCGACCGTGTGTAATTCTGGTGCTCCCCATAGATTTCTCCCAATGTTTCATGAGTTCATGAGGGAAAGTGGATGGGGAATATTCGTATGCATTAGTGACACTCGTAGTTCATTGTGGAGTGCATGACGGTTGGAGCAGCGCTTGGTGCGCGAGCGGCTTATATCTGTTCAGGGGAATATGAGTTTTTTGCCTGCAGCCCCTCCATCACGTGATGTCTATCCGCTGGAACGATCTTCGAAGCCTTTAGTCGAGGATCCGAATCGATACTACGATGGGGTATCTAGCTCAATGTCGCTCAATGACAATGAGTGCGCTCGGATGCTATCGATGACAGGGCCATATTATACTTTTCCAATCGAACACATCTACCCCTCCAATTTCGAGAGGAGTGTCCTCCCTCGAGTAACGCCATGACGCTCACAAGGAGTGCAGAGTTCAACTTACCTTCGAAAACTTCCGAGACGAGTCACGACTCGCAAACTTTCTGTCATATAGGGGGTCAATCGGAAATGTCCAGAGAAAGAATTACCCCCGGTGCACTTTTGAAGAGCTCCACAGCTTGCCCGAGGTGACTGAGCAGCAATGAAGTCGATTGCAGAAAAAAGTTTTCCCGGAACAATCTTCCGTCGAAAAGCTTGCTCGGGAATAACCTAGTCTGGAAGACAACAGGAGGTCGATCCTGGATATTCATGAAGAGCCCCCGCAAAATTTTCAGATCCATGCCCCGGCTCAACAATTGTCGTCCGTATAAACTGACAATCATTGATTCAAAGTTGACGGGCTTCGTTAAGAGCGCGTCGCTTCATCCGTGACGAGTTTCCGGGTTCTGCGCAAATGAATGGGAGGAGATCCGAACCCACGGTTCATCAAATCGATGCGGATGTTGCCCTCAAAGGATCTCGACGTGCGATCCGAGCACCCTGACGCCCTAGAGACGCATGCGGTGACTTTTCACACTTGTCCTCGCACTCTTGCAGCGCCGCTCTCGAGAAATGCCTACTTAGGCACTGGTTCCCGAGCGTTGGTTTCCATCGAATCTTTCCGAGAGACCTCCCTTGCGTCCGAGAAGCTCCTAAGACGGAGGAGGCAGGAGGGTTACCATGAGGCAGAGCCATTCATACACCAGGGGGAATCGAGAGTCGGAAAGACGCTGCGAGGCTCTCCCATGAACTCGAAACGCCCAGGGTGTCTTCTCCCCAAATAAGCCACCGAAAGCCGAAGAAAAAATCGCTGTCGACGTTCAGTCTCCCCAGCGGATTATTCTTGTTACTACGCGGATCACTTCAACGATCGAGTATCAAAGACGACGATCTGGACACCCTCATCCGACAGTCGCGTTTCCACCGGCGCCAAATCAGCAGGTGCGAAGCATTCCGTGGTGCCCGAGAACGGATTCCGAGCTTCGACTCTATCCGAAAATATTAGAGTTTAATAGATCTCCCTTATGTATATACTGTTGTAATGATCCTGGATTGTAGAAGCCGAAAGGTTGCAAGTTTGACAGACACCGGGAGCCCAGGAGAGCCGAGAGCAGCGCTCCCCCGTCGGAGCGCGTGGTTATTGCACCGCCAACAATCCTGACAGAAGGTCCTCTCATGTTGCCTTAATTGATTCTAAGCAATGGAGCAGAACGTGGAGGACGCGGGTTAATCTTTCGTCACGTAGTATGTGTTGGTTCGGCGGTGACGTTCGGTTTTGTTCCCCGTTCGACATGCCGCCGAACCGAGGAGGCACTCCCTGTCACTAGGCTCTCCGACGTCCCCGTGCCCCCTCGCCTGCCGGGTGACAAGGGCTGTGTACGCAATTAAGGGCATTAGCATCTTGATTGCTCACAAGGCTTCGTAAAACTCGTTTGACTTTGTTCCATTATTCAAGCCGTCGTTTCCAGAGTCTACACGAACCGAGGCAAGCCATCGACATGCATCCATGTACACCGCTTGTTGCGTTTGCGCGGCACTGACTCCCATTATAACAGCAGAATCTCAAACGATTTATATTTCTCTATCCGATCGTCACCGTTCATACAAACGTGCATCCTTCCGAAACTACAGTAGATACTTCCACAAAGCTTCCTCGGAGGAGCTCCACAAAGTATCGATATCGAAGCAAGGATCCACTACGAGAGATCAATTCCTCTCTGACTCGGGTGCGACCGATGCTCGAGGGCTGCAGGAGCATACCAGGATCCTACTCTCAAAAATGAAGCTCCTCTCCCTATTTCATCCCGGGAGTGTTTCATATCGGAGACAGCTCACCGACATGGAATTCCGCGTAAGACGACATTCAAGTGTCGGGCTTTACTCTCAAGCACGGACTTCGCCCGACCCCCACGCAGTCCTCTGTGCGTCTGTCGGCGGCCTCCTTGCGTCGAGGACTGTTGAGATATTTGAAGGGTCTACTGTTGGAGAGCACGAACACAGACACAAGAACAGAGATTGAGAGAAATTCCTTGAATCCTCCGCGGAATTATGACTCGAGGACAAACTTCATCGCTGGGAGCAGAAATTCAGCGACCCACATCTAACACTGATTCGAACTTGAGATGCTTCTCTACTCGAGTTCGCTGTTGCCGGTGCCTTCACGAATGAAGTTCCCCGGGAAGTTCTTTGCTCCAGGAACATCGACGCAATTCCTCCGACTCTTACAACCATCGGATACCAACATCTGATCGAGTCCTTCATGGATGAGTGCGAGACATTGAACAAAAGTTAAGCCGCGATTTCGTGGCTGGCCTCCAGAGTAGGTACGCAAACCCTGGGTCAACCTGTCCCCGGAGCAGACAGAAGTTTGAGAAACACTTGCACTTCTGTACCCGATTCACGGGGGCTGCCGTTTTCGATGATAAACAAAATAGAAGAGTCCGGCTCTCGTAGCTCGCTGAGTAGCTGGCTGAGGGCTGCGAGCAAACAGCGTAATCCTTAATTTGGAGGGTATTAGCAGGGGACGAGCGGGCGAATAAGAGAGCGACCATGCATGCGAGCAAGAGAGTAACTCTGGCTGAGTGAGAGAGGATGGACGACGAACTCGAACAGCCATCCTGATCCGCGCTTCGGCTCTTCTTCGGAAGTCCGTTCCCAATACTCTCACCGCGTTCGCAACTGCGGAGAAATTTCGGAGGGTCGAACCAGAGGCTCGCCTTTCGAACGATCAGAAACGATCACAAGAACGAGTCCCGGACTGTAACTCCGAGGGAAATACCCGGAATGGAACGCGCGTCTCGGAGAAAGGATACATCCGTGTCACAAGTTGCAACGAGAGGGGTGCCTCATGAGCTCATGAAGTTGTTCTGTGCGCCTAACTCGATTTTATTTCCCCCGTCCTGAGTCACTGCCCCGAGTGAGGTGGCGATTCTTTAGCTATGTCCCATCTCAATGGACGCAATTCGCTCGGCCCTCGCTACGCGGGAGTAAACGTCACCCATTTGGCAGCCAACTGCACGGAAAACAAGGCGTACCAGGCATAGCGGACGTGTTTGCTTGGTCAGTTGGCCCCTCGGTCGCGGAAATGCTCCGTGTGGAACGATATCAAGAATGATTCCTGGTCCGCAAGAATTGTTGGACAGCCAATTGAAAGCGGCGGCTGCCTCGCCGAGATATCTTTCCAGTGACGGCCACCGCTGCCACAGCACCGCGTATTCTTGACACGACTCGGGTCTAATTTGAGCCGCTGGGCTGGTCGTTCGTTAGGAGACGGTTCTTTTGTTTCCAAGTTTAGCGGAATTCTACGAGGGTGAAATGTAGGCGACAGGTTCGTGATGATTAATCCCGGAGGAGAATAGTTCCGAAGGACAATTGGCTCGCTTTGCATTTTGTGCTGTTGCCGATAGGCGCCGCAATCTGGACTTTGCAATCCTTGCCTCCCACGAAGTCCCTTCGGAGCGGGGCAACGCAGCGTAGGAAGAAAAGCCGTGGAGGGGGAAGAGGTGCCCATATTGTATTGACTCTCCGACTGGACGCTGCCTTTCACATACGAGGAGCGGAATCGGTCGAGTATTGTGTCCGAGGCGTGCCGTCGGGGACTTGGACGCAGCGGACTCGCTCCCGAGAATGTTCACTCTGTCACTACCTGGGATATCGCTTCACAATAATAGAAGAATTTTCCTACTTTGTCTCGGCCGCGGAGCCGGGAACTTGGGGGGATGGCGGTCCGAAAGTATTCCCTGAACAATGATATGAGTCTCGAATCAGGAATTCCACAGCCTCAGACGGGAAGCTTGCGGGCCATCAATGCCCTAACGATTAACTCGATTCGTGACCTTTCTCCGAGCGCTTCGCTTGGCTCTTCGCTCGGCTCTTCGCTCCATGAGATTGTTGTGAGACCGGAGGATGGAGAGCGACTCGCTGAAAGGCCCCGACCGTCCGAGAGGCAACGGTCT